GTTGGAGATCTCTCCAAAACACTGAAGAACAATGATGTCATTTTGAAGACTAACCCAGGCCATGGTCTTCTCAATCACATGCTATACATCAGAGAGCTGGACAATGAATGACAGGAAAATTGATGTCTAAGTTGTGGTGCTGGAGAAGAGTACTGAATAGCCCATGGACCATCAAAAGAACAAACCCTGAAAACATTACAGCCGGAGTTCCTTGGAGGTAAGGATGATCAAGCTTTGTCTTTCATATTCTGGCTGTAGCTAGGCGAGGCTGAGGTGTTTGCTGCAGAAGGTCATGGACTGCAGCTTTCAACACAGATTTAACTCCACATCAAGAAAACAAAGATTCTTACCACTGGGCCAACTGGCAGGATCACGGTAGACAGAGAAGAGACTGAAATTGTTAACAGCTTCAGCTTGCTTGGCTCTACAATCAACACTCTTGGTACCAGCAGCCAGGAAACCAAAAGACAAATTGCACTGGGAAAATCTGCCAGGGACCTCTCCAGAGTACTGGAAATCAACGATGTCAGTCTAGAGACTAAGGTACGCCTGATCCAGGCCATGGTCTTTGTAATTACTTGCTATGCATCAGAGAGCTAGAGAGTGAATAAAGAATGATAGGAGAAGAATCAGAGGGGAGCTCTGGTGGCCTAGTGGCAAGGAGCTGCAACTACAATCCCAGAGGCGCACGGTTCGAATCCACCAGATGCTCTGCCGGGTAAGGAGGGACAATCTCCTCCTGTACCAGTCAGATCTGATTTGACGGTATACGCACACAAAAATAAAATTTTTTTTTTAAAAAAAGAAGAAGAATCAGATGCCTGTGAGTTGTGGTGCCAGAAGAGAGTACTAAATGTACCATGGACTGCTAAGAGAACAAACAGGTTTGTCCTTGAGAGAGTGAAACCAGGCTTCTCCTTGGAGGCAAAGATACTGAAGCTCCATTTCAGATACTCTGAGTATGTTGCCAACAGGGTCCAGTCCTTGAAGGACATCATGTCAGGAAGGGTGGAGGGACAGTGTAAGAGAGGACGAGCCTGGATGAGACAGACTGACTCAGTGACTAGGGTGATGGGGGTAGGTATGTCAGAGACAATAAAACTGGCTCAAGATAGAGCTGGGTTCAGAGCTGTTGTGCACAGGGTCACTATAACAACACCAGGCAAAGCTATTCTTGGAAAGGGACATTATGTGAAGGAAGGAAGCTCCCCCGTGAGATGGGATGGCACGGTGACTTCAGCAATGGGCTCTAGTGGGTCAGAGATGAGGAGGACGGCCCAGGAGAGGGCTGTGTTCAGAATGGTTGTTCGTAAAATTGCTGAGTCGTATCTGACCCGACAGCACCCAACAACAACTACGTGGCCATGTGGTGGAAGTCCCAGCCGCCTCAGACCTCACCTGCAGTACTCACTGCAGCATCCGCACAGCTTCGCCTGACTCCCCAGAGGCGGCTTTGTCCAGTCAAGCCCGAAGATTAACTGCCCTACAAGCCACACCCTACCGCAGGGGTCATCCTGCCCATGGACGGGGCAGCTGTCTCTCAGTTCTGCCTATAGGTCCTGTGAGGGATCTTTCCCGCCTAACGTCCTAGCCTGGGTGCCTGCTTCCGCTACTTCGCTCGCGGAGCCCCAGCACGGTCGTGACTTCTGCGCTAGGGTGACCTAATGGCCCCAGTCTGAGGAAAGGGGCACCATCTGACCACAGAAATTAAACAGTAACATCACCAACTACTTACTTTCACCAGAGGATTTTTAAGAAAAAGTAAAAGAAACCCAACTAATGGAGGCATTTAAAACTGTAATAGGCAGGCCCTTAGGGCGGTGTGACAGCATGACCACACAGTACGTGCTCCCCGTCACACCCACATGACTCTCTGGCCCCCTAACTAACCCTGAGTAGGGACAAGGAGGGCGTGCTGAGTGAACACACAGCCCCAAACGCCAACTCCACAGCCCCCGGGGGATTCCAGCAGCAGTCCCAGCGTGTCCTCAACAGAGCTCTCAAATGAGAGGGCGAGCCAATGTCCGCAGCATCACCAGCCTTCAGAAAGGGCACTGGGGACAGGAGGGCGACAAGGAGGACACAGGTTGGCAGAAGGAAAAGCAGAACAAAAGTGCTTCTCAGCAGAGTCTCCAAAGACATAAGCCAGGTGCATCGGTGAATCGAGCGTGGCTACACACCCACCCCCAGCAGCAAGCAGTGAAGGTGTTTGCTTTTTAGCAGTGTCCACGCCCCCAGGCTCTCCCTCCAGAGGGAAGAGAGATGGGGATTGCATGCAGGTGAACCCCTGAGGCAGGCCACACAAGGGGTTGCCGCCTGGCCTGAGGGGGAAAAGCAGCCTCAAACACCCGACCTGACACAGGCAAAGTCAGCCCCAGTGGTTCTGGCCGTGAGGACACCAAGCTCCAATGCGAGACCTGGGGCTGTGTCCGTCCTGATGCCCAGGGGCGCTGTCGGCCTCTGTGTGGGGCAGCACAGTCATGACCTCACGGGCTACTGCTCCCCTGGGCTCTCAGTCATCCGGAGTGGCCGGCAGTGAGCAGCTGCCCTGAACCTCCTCCCTGTGCCCGAGGCGGCCTCCCTCCCCTCTGCACCTGGTCGAAGTGCTGGTCCAGCATCGGAGAGCAGGCTCCTTAGTCCCCGCGGACACGAAGGCCCTGGCAGCTGGAGGGGAGCTAGGACACAGTGAGGACAGCTGTCACTCACCGAGCCCATGAGTGCCTGGGACACACAGTGAGCTGTCTCTGATTTAGGGCCCTCCATGAGCCAGCCCCAGTTCTGGGGTGACCTCCTCCTGGGCCTGTCTACCCGCAGGGGCAGGGTCTTCAGGACAGAGGGCTACCAGCTCTACCCTGCACTTCCACCACCTGGCTTTTCATCCTAACCTGTTTCTAGAACTTCCACGTGGTGTCAGGGCTTCCAATCCTCCCCCGCGGAGACAAGCCGGCTGCACTTGGCGTTGAGCTCAATGAGGGCTTATTCGCAGGACGTTCACTGGCAGTGAAAATGCTCCAGTATTTTATTGAAAGAAAGCAATAAATAATACTGTGATAAAAATAGTTCAAAAGTAGACTGTACATACTTTGTTACATAATCAGGAAGTTCACAAAAGATTAATAGAAAAACAGAAAGGTAACAATGAATTGTACACATAAAACAAAGCAGGAACCAAACTGGGTCAAGACATGCTTGCTCTAGTGCTATATATCTATATATATATATATCTATATATATATCTATATATCTCATTGCATAATAAATAACGCACCATTATCTGAACACATTTCTTGCTGGCTCTTTAATATGTCACTTTAAAAAGTAAAAGTTACATTTGCTACAATCCAAAATGGCTGTCATGAAAATCGAAAAACGTACGCTGAGATCTGTTCTCAGAACATGTTTACAAACAGACGTACAAAGGTGATTCGCACGAAACAAGTAAGGCCTTTAGCAGAGCTGCACCCCAGCATCCCAGGCCCGCGGCCACCGTGCCGCTGCCAGCTGGGAGCTGCGGGATCGGTCCAGTGCGTGGCTGGGTTCTCGCGGCAGCCCCGCTCCGGGGAAAAGCCGGGAAGAAGGCACAGGGGGTTGACCCGCTGACCACCGCCTCTCTGCAGCCCGGGGCCCGGCCAGTCTCCGCAGAGCGGGTCCCCACCGATGGACCACGCTGCCAGACCAGCACTGCCCAAGACGCTGGTGGTCGACCTTGGACGCCTGAGAGCCGCCAACAGGGCGGAAGAGCATTTCTTGCTAGAAAAAGTACAGTTAAGGTCAGTCATTAAAATACAACGAGAGTTGCTCGAAAGCGAGTCTCGCTTCAAGATGATTGTTGGAGCGCTAGTCTGCAAAGGGGAATGCCTGCCGCTGAGCCGGCAGTCTTACAAATGTAGTAAAATCCTTTTCTCTGAAGTGTTTATTATTAAAAAATTAACAATGGTAATTACAATAAATGCATAATTTACAAAAGCCCTCTATTTGTTCACAGGATTTATACATACAAGCATTACAGTACATTCATCTGAAAGACTAAAATTAGGTATAAGAACATGAGTTGATCTGAAAGGATATTTATAGCCTGGATATACAAGTAAGTAGCTATATAAATGAAGAACCGTAAGTTTACATAAATATAAGAAACATTAAATTCTAAAATATTTTCTCTATGGTATTTGTGAATTTGTCACTAATTAAAAACTCTGTAATAAAATATTTTAGGGTCCATATGACAAGTATTAACAGATGAGCAATGCACTGTCTGCAGGGCCGGGGTCTTCACTGGGAGCCGTCATTATCTATAGAAGTAGTGTGGGTACACTGGGGAGAGAGAAAAATGGACTTCAGATGGGTGCGGGCCCATGGACCCCCACTTCATGGTCACCACCCCCGCCCCCGCCCCGTGCCCTGGTCCTAGAAAGAACACCCAGAGACTTCCTCGACTGACGTCCTGGATCTGAAAGCCACCAACTGCGAGAGGGTGAGACTGAGAAGGCAGCGGGGCGGTCCAGCTCTGCCCGCGGCTCAGGACACAGCCCGGAGGAGCGTCGGGCCCACCTGCCACCTGGTGCCTAATGACAGTGCAGTTCTGTGTGAAAACGAATCGCTCGAAATGGAGAAGGTGTTCGTGGCAGACAACGGTAGGGCCTCGTGGACTCATAAGCCCTGGTAAGCCAGTGCCACCACCGGGGACAGCGGACAACCTGGTCAGAGCAGAAAGCGCCTGGCCGTGGTCTTAGGATTCCCTGCTCTCGGCCGTGCTCCCCACTCCCCTCACCGCCCGCAAACACAGCGAGAAGGAAGGGGTGCACAGACGCGCAAGAGGAGCCAGCGCGTCCAGGGTCAAGGAAAAAGCAGAACACGGCCACACAAAGCTCTTTGAACGAGGAGACACAGATCCTCGCACCACCTGTGGAGGGCTGGGTGCCCGTGAGCACCCCGACAGGAGCAGAGGGCCGGTCACCAGGCCATGCCCACTGGGCACAGGCCACGCCCCTACTCACCCATCAACAGGAGTAGGTCCGCACTGTGGCCGAGTCCAGCCTCTGCGTCCCCGGCACCTCGCCTGTCTCGACATCGCGGGGGCAAGCGGAGCACAACGTGCAGTTAGTCTCACACAGCGGCCACACACGCAGACATCCCCCACCCTGAAGGGCCACCTGAGGGCTCTGGGTCACACTTTTGGGGGGCAAGGTCCAGCCTTGCCCCTCGGGGTGCCTGGGAGGTAGGTCTGTGATGGCAGAGGCAAAGGTCATCCAGGGGCAGGATGTGTCTGCACAGGTCATAGCCACTCGAGATCCTCACACTAGAGATCACGCCCCAGCTTCTTACGGAGCCCCCACAGCGGGGCGGCCAGCGGGAGGGGACAGGGCCTTGTCCAGGGGACTGAGGCTGGAACTCAGCCTCCCCCGCAGCTTTGGGTTCCAGGAACACAGTGCGTGTTCCACGGGGGAACACCGCAAGCCAGAAGAGTAAGTCCTCCACACTAGAGGGGCAGTCCCTGCCAACGCCTGTCCCTCATGCAGACCAGATGGACACTCCCTGGCCGCGCAGCTCTAGACCCAGGAGAAATGGGAGACAGAGGGGTGTGCCGTGGTCAAAGAGACCTCGTTGTGCCATTACTTATACAGCCTGGGGTGGCCACTTGGGGAGGTCTGCGCCTGGGCTGTTCTGACTTGGGTGGACATCCCTGTTCACATCAGATACTCCCAACGCCCTTGTTCCAGGCTTCTCTCTCTCTTAGCCACACTCCAGGCTGCTGTCACTACCTCACAGGGGCCGAGAGGGACGCGACTGAGCTCTTCCAGAGATTAGACAGGATGCTGCTGAGGAGGCTAAGGTGGAAAATTCTAGAAGGAAAATCCTAAACTTTGGGGGTCACTGAGTTTCTGTCCCCCAAGCAGCTGAGAAACCATTTGCACTGCCACAGGGACACTGTCCTGCACATGTCCGGGAACACGGGTCCTCTGGTCCCTGCGGAGGAGTCAGAGCAAGTCTCCTACACCAATGGCGGGCGTGGGCACCTGGATGGGAACCTGCCAGTCCCCAGTGAGCACGACAGCCTGTCCCTCAGGACTTGGACAGAACACCGCCAGGCCGATTTGCGACCCGGGCACGCTGGGTCACGTGCTGTCACCTGTACACGCACGCCCCTGCCCACCTGTGGGAAGACAGGTGGTTGTGGCTGCGTCTTGAGGGAGTCCAGGCAGTTGCTCCAGGTCAGGTCACAGCTGAGGCCCGACCCTGGCTCTAGAAGCTGAGCGCCCTCGAGTGAGTGGGACGGAGCTGGTGCTTCACAGGACGACCTGCGGTCTCGTCCCCCATCCCTCACCTCCCAAGGCAGGCATGAGCCAGACAGAGCAGGGGGCTGTGACTCTAAGGCCACCTGGCCACGCCCCCAGCGGGGACCGCGTTCCCCCAGGAGTGAAGCCAGCAGACCCCGACGACGACTTGGAGGGCCAGCTTCCTCGGGCTCCAGCCACCCGCGTACCCACAGCATGGGTGCCAGCGTCACTGACAGCACAGGACAGCGTGCCCGGCCAGCTGGGAGAACGGGGATGCCTGAGCCAACCACACGAGAACGAAAGCAAAACCAGACTTTCATAAACAAACGTTCAGGTTAATCGTGAACCATTCCAACCTGGCCATGCAACAGCAGCCCGAAGCCCTGTGACGTGGACAAGCCACTTGTGACCACGGCCGAGAACGTCCCCCGCACTGGCAGCTGCACCGGGCTGACGTCCCCGGCGACTTACCGTCCAGCTGCACCTTCTTTGGCTGCATGGAGGGTGACGACGTGGAAGCCGTGACCCGGAAGTTGGCAGGCAGCGTCTCTGCTGACCCAGCCGCTAGGCCTCGCACATCCTTCGGTCTGAACTTCTTCCTCCAGGAGGGGGCTCGCCGGAAGGTTTTGTCATCATCCTGGTGGGTGAAGGTGGGCGAGAAGGTGTAGGTGAAGGGGATGGTACACAGGGCCGTGTTTAGACGAGGCGTCATTTCTGTGCAGTGATTCGGTACCGGTCACCATTCACACACAGCCCTCGATGTAACAGTACCCCTCCCACTACCCTCCCCGTGTCCCCTTTTTCCATCGTCCCCCTTTCTATCCTTTCCTGCCTTTTGAGCTGTGTCCCTGGGCAGATGAGCTGAGTGTGGACGGCTCCTTTGTGCTTTTGCTGGTGTTTAAGGACTTCCTGACACACAGACAACTGTTGGTCCCGACTGGGACCTCTGAGAAGGGAAGGAGGGGTGGGCCCTCCACTGCACACAGATGGCCTGGGACCCCCGGCCCCTCCGGGCGGGCAGCACACTTCACTCCCCACCCTGAGGAAATGGCCTGCCTGTGGTGAAATACTTCATAATCATCTTGGAAAAGTCATTTTCACATAGTTTTTCGGCTTATGCTGTGAGCAGCGTTTCCTAGAGCTGTCAGCCTCTGCCCTGACAACCGGCAGAGGGGGCCGAGTTAGCGAGGACAGAGCTGAGCCTGGCTTCAAGGACAGGGAGTGGTTCTTAGAAGCTTCTGGAACATTCCCACGCCTTAGGACACTTTCATGGGTTGTGAAAAACTCAAGTGCCCAAAATTCCACCTTCTTCCTGAAAAGGATTACTTTCGTAACCAGTCACTGTAAAGCGATGTGCACGTTTCGCAAGCATGTCCAGGCGGGCTCCTGCGTGTGAGGCACAGTCCTGGACGCACTGACCGCGGCCTCAGAGTATCTCCATGCACACTCACCTCGTCGAACCTCCTGTCGGTGCCCATGACCAAAAGGTTGTTGAACTCTCTCTCCAAGACCGCCCGAGCCTGGAATTGGAACAAAGCAATCAGAAAACCCCCAGATCTCACCTCAGTTTGATGTGAAGGACATTAGCTATCATTATTATGACTCTTCACACCCAGACTTTACACATATACACAAACACCCAGCTCTGAGAGTGTGGGGGGACCCTGGCAGCAGGATGAGGTGTGGGCTGCTGACCAAGCATTTCTAGGAATTCTGATACAACAGGAACAAAAGCCCTTTCCTGTGAGGACGAAGCAGGACATCTCTGCGAGTGTGTGGACTTAGATGAGATGCTCCTCGTTTGATCCATTTACAAGAACTGCATGTTTGTACACAGGACAGGAAAAGAGGCAGACCAAAGAGAGACACACCAGGTGCTGGGACCCTGACGTAAGGCAGGGCAGATGAACCGGGGGACTGTGGCCATCTGAAGGCTCTATCTGTCCTCCCGCGGGTGTGAGGGGCTCTGGGTTACAGGGGGGACTGCGGCCGTCTGGCAGGACCTGTCACATTCCTCCCGTGGGTGTGAGGGGCTCTTGAGGGGCTCGGGGTTACCTGCGTGTTCTGCGTAGGGATCTGCAGCAGCAGCGCCAGCGCATTGAAGTCGAAGGTCTCGTCTAAAGCCACAAGCGCGCCATGCACGCCGCTCTCGATGAGATTGTTCGCATACTCCTTAAGGCCGATGGCCAGGATCCAGCGGATCACCCGATCATTGCTCCAGACAAGGACATCTGTGGAGGAATTGGTGAGGGTAAGCGCCTTCATCCTGCACACGCCCTGCTGTGGCCCCGGCACCCCAGACCCCAAATGGACACAGCCTTCTCCAGAGGACACACGGCACAGGGACAGGACTTTGTCCTCCATGCGGTGCGGACTCCTCCGTCAGACCTGCCCCTTCAAGGGTACTCGAGCAGCACGAAGGTGGACTCTACTGTGGGGCGTACTTCCAGAGGACGGGGCACGAGGGTGAGCTTTCTGCCTCCACCTCTGCTGTCGGGGAGCGGGCACCACGCCTGGGCACAGCATCTTGTGCCACGCCCCATAGCCTGTCCTTTGCAGTCCTGGAGGTGGGATGTATGCTGACCCCTTACAAAAATGAGGCTGGAAGACATTTAAAAAAAAAAGTAAAAAATAAGCTTTATTCGGGGTGGTGTCCGGCTCAGAACCTCTGGGACTGCTTCTTGGTGTCCGCGGCCTTGGTGACCTTGAGCACATTGACGCGCACGGTCTTGCTCAGTGGCCGGCACTCGCCCGCGGTGACAATGTCGCTGATCTGGACGTCTCTGAAGCAGGGAGACAGGTGCACAGACGTGTTCTTGTGACGCTTCTCAAAGCGATTGTACTTGCGGATGCAGGGGAGGTAATGTCGGCAGATGACGACGGTCCTCTGCGTCTTCACCTTCGTCACCACCCCAGACAGGATTCGCCTCGGATGGAGACGTTACCAGTGAAAGGGCACTTCCTGTCAATGTAGGTGCCCTCGATGGCCTCCTTGGGCGTCTTGAAGCCCAGACCGATGTCCTTGTAATAACGCGGGAGCTTCTCCTGGCCGGTTTCCCCCAACAGCACTCTCTTTCTGTTCTGGAAGACGGTCGGCTGCTTCCGGTAGGCGTGCTCCGTCTGGACGTCCCCCATCTTTCCGGCCGCTTGGAAAAAGCTGGAAGACATTCTTCAGCGCTTCAGAAACAGGAGGGTTACCTGATCTCACACCAATTAGTAAGTTCCCAAATTTGCCTTATTAGAAATATAAAAACAGCTGCTTTGTAAAAATATATCCAAATGATCAGCGATCCCAGCCATGACAAGGTCTGTGTACTGTGAACAGATCCCAAGCACACAGGAACAGGTGAGGCAGGCATACATAGCACCTCTCCAACGTCCTTTTCTGGACAAATGCATGTACAGACATATACACAAATTCAACAACTACGGACTTGGGATTTTTCTAACAACTCATTAACATACTTCTGAGTAATTTACCCTTTTAAAAAAGAGGAAGTGAAAAAGAAGACTTAATAAAGCAGGCTGGCGCAGTGGCCATGAGCGAGACTGGACCCAGCGTCTGCTATGGGGAGGGTGGGGAGTGGACACAGGCAGCAAGCACTCAGAACCATCCCTCGGACAGGGCTGGTCAGCACTCATTTCTTCACGAGTGGAAGCGAGAGCCACGGCTGCACTGTCCACACAGCTGAGACGAGGGGGACAGGAACGAAACAGCAGGAGTGTGAGAGCAGAGCCTGCCGCAGCCCACTGGCATCGAGCGGCGCTGCCGTCAGTAACTCCCCTTAGTCCTCAACCGTCCGCTGGGGGAACGTGGAGGAGAGGCTCCCCACGAGGGACCCTGCAGCCGCAGCCTGGTCTTCTGAGTGCTCTCCCCTCCCCCTGCTCTGATTTCTTCCTCCAGTCCTCCAACAGGACCGGCCTGAGGCTCTGCCTGTCCCTCTCATGACCCTGGGGCCCTCCTGTGCACCCACATAACCAAGAGGTGAGCTGCAGGGCCACTCGCCTGCCCACTCTGTCAGTGTCTCAGCGTGTCAACAGAGGGGGACTGACAAGAAAGGAGAAGCTGACACTTCTGAAGTCAAAGGGACAGGCTCACCCAAGAGTCAGCCGGGGGTGATTCTCATGAGCAGAGCCCAGGTGAGCCCCTTCCATGCGGTCCCCACAGGCCGACGGCTGCCTCTCCCCTGCGCACCTCCGACGGGGTGGACACAGGAGGACACAGAACTGCCTGACATGGGGGACAGGCCCACAGGGCTCATTGAGGGATCAGCCCCTTCCATGCGGTCCCCACAGGCCGACGGCTGCCTCTCCCCTGCGCACCTCCGACGGGGTGGACACAGGAGGACACAGAACTGCCTGACATGGGGGGCAGGCCCGCAGTGGATCTGGTTGAAGGAGAGGATACTGGCCTTTTACTTCGTTCTGGCTTTCTTCCCTCTTTCTTTCCAGCTCTTTCCGGTCGTAATTTAACTTTCGCAGACACATGATTCCACACTGGAAACTGTTTCTGTAAAAACAAAAGCAAACGGGATGATCTCGAGAAGGCGGCGGCTGTGCCCCCGGTGACGCGGACCAGGAAGCAGAGCGCGCATGGGCTGACCTGTGGAAGCTGTCCACCATCTTGAGCTGCCCCCGGAGGTCCTTCTTGGTCAGGTGGTCCAGCATCCTGGCGTCCACAAGGCACTCCATGAAGTAGCTGCGGTACTGCGGCAGGCCCAGGCTGGGCAGCCACTCGTTGCCGATCCACTCGTGGTTCATGTCCCCGTAGGCGAGCGTCTGCTCGTGAGGAAGGAGCAGGAGGATGAGGGCTGCGCCCGCGGAGGTGACCACACAAGAGCAACCACCGCGGAGCTGGGTGTGCAACCACACACGGGGGGGCTAAACAACAACAGGGCTCTTTCTATTTCAAACCATCTGATTGGACAGTTGACACCTATTTAAAAGTCAGCAAAATTTATACAGAAGAAATGACACCATTAAAAGTCTGTGATTCATTTGTGTTTTAAAATGTAAATAATTGCATTTACTAAACCACAAGACTAAAAGTGACCACAAGTTTCCTTCCTGGAGCAATTTTACTTCGTAATAACCAGAAAGGACCACCACGGCTCATGAACAAGTTTGAAGGGTCACCCCACCTTCTGCTCATCCAAAAACACCCCAGGCTCATTTTCAAAGGACATACTTTCACCCGAAATGCTCTAAACAAAACAATTTCACAATCAGGGGAAAAGTAAATAAAAAGTTTAAAAACAGACAAGCAGAACAACTGAGCACAGAAAGGGGAAGCAGCCTGGCCCACAGTTAGAAGTAGGAGCCTGCCTCTCAGCAACAGGCTCAACAAGCAGCTCGCAGCAACACACGCCAAGGAGGAGACGGAGACAGACAGACGGACCTTCACATGCCACGAAGCTCGGGTGAGAAGACGGACTCCTCTGGGAACACACACAGCACTCTCCGACACAGACACGGCGCAGCTTATTTAAGGAGACGAGCAAGCGGCCCAAGAGAGTAACATTCAGAACCAGCCACCAAAAGCGATGTGGGAACTTCTCAAGCGTTTGGGAATGAAGGCGTTTGTGAGTGAGCCATGTGCCAAAGAAGCAATCACATGGAAATTGGAAAATGCTGTGAACTGAAGGAAAGTGGAAGTACATGGGCTGCTCCTCCAACAATGCTCCGAGTGAAACATGTAACACTGAATGCTTACGGAATGAGCTCATCAATGACCTACGATTCTATCTCAAAAACAGGAGAGAAAAAAAGAGTACAGAAAGTCTAAAGCAAGTAGAAGAAAGAAAATAAGAGAGAAGTTGGTAAGACACAAAAAAGATTTAGAAAATAAAGCAATGACAGGAAAACCTGAGGCCTGTTAAGTACAGCACAGCCTGGGTGGTCAGGAGAAAAGGTAAATCACTCAGGGGAAAGGAGGACACGCTTCTGAGATACGTAAAGAAATCAGCATGCGCTTGGCTCGATGCTGAGAACATACTCTCTGTCCCGTCATCACAACGGAAATCTGTAGTTACCAGTCCAAACAGCTCAAAAGAAAAGTAAACCCTCAACCCCCCATGGCTTTGCTAGAGATTTTAGACATGTAAGAAAAAAAATTTATCTGTTCTATGCAAACCACACCAAAGAACTGAAGAAGAACCTTTGCTTTAATGTCACTGGACCAGTACTAACTGATGTCAAACTAGACAGAAATTTTAAGAAAATAAAATCACAGACACATATCCCTTCAAGGACAGAAATACAATGGAAGAGAATGGTCTCCGGCTGAGGAGGGACATCCACTCAGGGCCTCCTGCAAGCATCACCCTCCACGGTGGGCGATCAGGCGAGAAAAGGATGTGTGTCCCCACCACTCCGGTCAGCATTCCCTAGAGGCTCTGGACAGATCAGAGGGCAATGGGGGGGGGGGGGGAACAGGCTCATAAATTTGAAAAGGAATTGAACGGCCTTTACTTGCAGAAGACAAGATTCTCTATATAGGAAAGGAATCTACCAAATGGCTCTCAGAACTAGGTAGTGAATTCTCAGGCTGCACAGTAAACAGACAAAAAGAGCAGTGTTTCTCAACACTGGCCGTGAACATGAACTCGCGGTGCTGTGGGTTTGGCCCTCCACGGCTGGCAAGAAGGTCAGCCCTCGGCAGGAGAATGGTGTGCTCTGCAAAGCTGACCGCCTTGGGACCCCTCCTGGGCCCTCCGTCCTGCAGGGGGGAACTGGGTAAACTATCACGGGTTTGGTCAAGAACAACGGGAATTTGAAAAACAAGAGCATCACCAAACAGGCAAACTTTAAGAAGAAATTTTAACAAAATATGGACGAGGTCTGCACACTGAAACACACACACACACAGAGGGAGAGGGGGAGAGAGACACACAGACACACAGACACGTGAGAGCAGAAGGTGCCTAGCACTCTACAGCTATGGCTTCTGATCTAATTATTATTTGCTCCTTTCACACTGGAAAGAATGACCCAAATTCCAACAAGAATGGTGGAATTCTAACAAAACAGAATGTCCCATCATTTCCCTAAACTTTGGGCATGGAAACCACAGCCCCTCGCAGGGAGGCGCCTGGACAGCCCCTGCAGCCACGTGCTTTGTCCACTATGTCTAACCTCCCTGAGAGGTGGGCGTGGCCATGCGGCAATGCTTTCTTGCTGGCTGATAACGTGTTCTAAAATGGGCACAAAAAGCAAAGAAACGGTCTTGCTATTATCACACCTTCCTATTTTTGAAGTCGTTGACAGCGTGAGCTTCTGGAAGTATCTGGCTCAGTCTGGGGACGTCACTGCTCTTCTGCGCTGCCAGAGCAGCCTTCTGCAAAGGGCATGGGTGAGTCCTGAGCTAGGAGAGGTGCCCACTGGAACATGAGGGTGCCCGGTCCGGGCTGTGACTGTGCACAGCGTGAGCCCCGCAGGGTTACGCCGCCCTGCCGGCCCGTGCGACCAGCAGCAGCACAGCTTGGACACACCGTCAGCGGCCAGGACACGCTGTGATGTCTCGGTCTTCAGCTCATGATTCGGGGACCCTGAGCTTCTATCTCGGGGTCTCCCTGCACATTGCTGGGCCTCTGTGCAGCAGCCCCCCCGTGGCTGGGAGACCAGCAGACTGCATGTCCCTCTCAAGTCTGGGCAGGGCAGCAGGAGGGCTGACGGCCACTCTCTGGCCCACCAACTTCCTATTTCCTCAGGCCAGCATCGGTCCCTACACTCTCGCAAGCATGACGTCCTTCTCCAAGGTCTGGTCGGTCCCTCTTGGTCACGTGCCCACAGTATATGAGACAGGGCTTCAGAATCCTCGTCTGCAGGGAGCCGTTTGGTTTCACGCTCTCCAGGACAGATCTGTCTCTTCTCCTGGACGTCCATGGTGTGTTCAATACTCTTCTCCAGCTCCACAACTCAAAGACATCAACTCTCCTTCTGTTCTCTTTAGTCACTGTCCAGCTCTCTGATAGATAGCGAGTAACTGCAAAGTCCATGGCCTGGAACAGGTGGTAAGCTGGACACTCGGACCTTCCCAGGCAAGTGCTTCTCGGTGTGAAGTAGCGGAAATTAGCAAACGTCCCTGTGCCAGTCGCCCTGGCCCTCGTCAGTGTCACTGAGTCTGCGGCTCACAGCACGTGAGACACAAAGTCATCACGGGATGGCCGCATCGACCTACTCCTTCAGTGAGGAGCCCTGGCGAAGGCCACTGGCCACAAACTGCACGGCTGGCCGCTCTGGAGGAGAACGAGGGGGCACCCCACTTCCATGGGGGTGACAGCTGCAGAAGCCTAAGGCAGTCCTGGCTTGTCCCACCAGGGCTGGGGGTAACCCAGACAGACAGAAACAGAAGGTTCAATGAACAACCCGTAACCAGGAAAAAACCTAAAGCTTTTCGGATGTGACGGCTCACTGAAGATGCTGACCACCTGCTATCAGTGAGGGCACTTAGAGACCCGCCAGCTGGCAGCCCACCCACCTGCGCACCGGCACCACCTCCCAAGCCAGCGGGACACGCAGGGTGCCCGAGAGCTTCCTGTGAGTGAAGCCAGGGGAGCAGGGAAAGCAAGTGTGCCCTACACGGGAAGAGCTTCGGTGTCAGAGATTCTGCCAGGAAGGAACTCTGAATCGGCACATACTTAGGACAGCCCTTGGTAATACGCCCAGTGCTGGCACAGAGAGGGTCACCACGCCAGCTTCTGTGCCCAGAGAGACAGCTGCCCTTCAGCAGCCCTGGGAAGGAAATCCCACCACTCAGCGGGGCCCCCACCACCCGCGGAGCAGGAGGTCCCATCTGCCTCCATACAGGGAACGTTCAAAATTGTCCATGAGACGTGCTCTTTAACATTGTGCCTTCAATTCATTAACAACATTCTAGAAACGTCAACAAAGTGGACACTACAGCTCTTTTGCTGCTGTACAGTAAGGGAAAGATTTAGAGGAAGTCTCCAACCTGCGCCCAGCTTCCCTCCTCATCCTCCTGAGGGTACGTGGTTAGGATGCAAAAGAACAGAGCTATTAGTATCAGTCAGTGGCAGGACGGAGCGGTTTCACTCTGCAGCGAGACGCAGCTTAAATGAGCATGAACAGGTTAAACCCCCCCAAGCTTCATGCACAGTTCATGCCAACCAACGTCCCCACTTCTCATGCAGGAGCAGACTTCCATGCCAAGCCCCCCCAGAGCGGGCAGGGTCCAGGTCTCTCCCATGGGAGACAGAGTTACGACTAAGTCGAATCTACAGACCCATTTTATGTTCCCAGAAAAATCTAGACCACCACCAAGTGTGGAAAAACCTGGAGAAAATACTTATCCACACCAGTGTAACACGGGTAACACTCGTCCCAGCCAGGGCCCAGCCACGCACAGGGTCACCAAGGGCACGCGGCGGCACCGTGACTAACCGTTTGTGGTGTGGCCGTAAGAGTTTCCATCTCCTCGTGCGTTAACCAGACATTTCCTGTGCTCTAAGGTGACCCAGGTGTGCCCATCCCATCCAGGGCAAGGAAGCAGTGACAAAGAGGAAAGATGGCAGACAGGTAAACACCAGGTGCGTGCAGGAGCAGGTCGGGCAGAGCTCCCTCTTCTCAAGCTTCTCATCCAGGTGTCCAGCCCCCCATCACGTGCTCAGCCACACACCGGAGCCTCTCAGAGACCCACAGGGAGACACGAGCCTGCCCCCGGGCGTGGACCCCAGGAGGGAAAGGTATGTGACCTCCTTGAAATCCTAAGATAATTCTCAAGTAACAATGAATTCAGTATGACTAAGCTAGCCTTCCTCAGTGTTAACAAGAAGCTGGGCGAGACCCCGGTTCTGGAAGATGGGAGGACACTCCCGGTAGGTCTGCCAGACAGGAGTGCTTCAGGCTGCGTGTGCAGCCAAGAGGTCGAGCGGGTCAACGAGCGTGCGCTTGCCGGCGTCGACCTGGACTCAGCAACCCTGCAGGACCTCTGCTTTTGAGGAGTGGCCAGTGAACACCAACCTCCGAGCCCTTCACCAGCAGCGGAGTGCTTTAAACTCTACGCCACCAGAGCTTCGCACACATTAACGTGATGGCATGTCACCAGTAAAGCTGGCCTTCCACTCGCTCTTCCGGCCACAGGCCGCCGGTGCCATGCACACCCTGTCTGCTGTCTATTCACCTCCTTCACGGACCTGGTGAGGGAGAGGCTGGGAGCCCCAGCTGCAGCCCGTGCCTCTGGGGAACAGCAGGTAGGGCGATGGGCTGTGCTCCGGTCCCGTGGCCAGGTCCTCTCACTGAGCCCCTCTAACGAGTGGAGAGCCCCTGCAATGGGTGGGTGCTATGGCGAGCTCCCGGTTCTGAGGACGTCTACAGCCTGGGGGGCCCACAGTGTGTTTTCTCGCCAGGGCAGACGGAGAGCTAGAGTAGAAGGCACAGGCACACGAGGCCAGACCTGACCTGCGCACTCCCCAGTTTTTCAGAGTGGTCTGTAACTGCCTGGACTAGGAAGGCTCTGGGGCAGCCTGTGTGGGGAGACCAACCACCCACATGTTCGCTGTATGCAGGGCAAACCAGCGAGCGCCCTCCAACACGCTTGGGGTCACAATGGGGGTTCTGCATTCTCTCTGTTTCCTTGCATCCCGTATTTCCATGGGCATCCTGAGATTCCCCAGTGCTCTGTTCTGAGGGCAGACCATGGCCTCTTCCTGATGTGCAAGCTGCCCTTAAACAGACCCGTCTGAGGTGCCTGGTTCCCACACGAGCAGAGAAAACCCTAGCCCTCCAGTGCTCCTTATCTGGCTACACTGCATGGAGGCTCTCCCACCCGAGTAAGGAAGCCGCCTGGCGGTCGTCACTCACTCTCAAACCCACTCTCAGGAAGGTTGAAGTGGCCAAGACCAGCCCATGGGCCAGGCGGGAGGTGCTGCCCTGGGGAGGGGCGCTCAGGGGCCCTGGGAGGGGCTGCGTCTTTCCACGGGTGCGAGCTGCCCTGGGGGAACCGGCACAGCCGTTATCCTCACAGAGCGGTGATACTGGCTCCCGATTCCCTGGCCACGCGCTCACCTACGGACTGAAAGGTGAGTGGTTCGAATACACCCAGAGGTGCTTCAAGACAGACTAGGTCATCGGCTTCCCAAGCCCCAGCTGTGAGGAGCCCACGGAGCATGTGCACGTGACGTCACTCTGCTGGGGGCTGCCAACGGCCCCGTGAGCACTGTGCAGACAGAGGCAGCGAGGTTCAGTGCTCCCCTTCCCGCGCCTTCTTCACGGCAGTCCCCGAGTCAGCTCCAGTAAATAAACTCGGACGTCGGTGACGGTCACGCACCCAGTCCCCTGACCCTCAGTCCTTCTGCAAGTTCACGGGGAGTACACACGGGGAGCAGAGAAGATCACCCCCAAACACCTACCGTCCTAGAGGTGGGCGGGGCCGACGGGCTGGTCAGTGACATGATCTCCTGGATGGCTAGCCTCAGCTTCAGCCTGTGCAGGGGGTTGCTGATGCCGATTTCACGCTGGATCTCAGTGTCCGACAAAGCCGACATGATGGCCCCACTCTTCACGTTTGCCCGGCACGCAGCCACATACCAGGCTGGCATCCCCACCCAGAGCTGCAGACAGAGAGGGAAGGGTAAGGCCAACAGGTCACGCTGTCCGAGAAGTGGCCGCCCACCTCTCAGGACACAGACAGGGCCCTACCTCCAGCCACACGACGACAGTGGGCCCGTCCCACTGGGCGAAGGGCAGGCCCTGCCTCCGGGCCTCCTCCAGCAGCTCATGCCTGCAGAGAGGGGGATATCGTGAATACAGCACAAATGAAGCCCGTTCCCTACAGACTCCCAGCCACGTCTCCTGCAGAGAGGACGACAGCCATGGCTCAGCGACAGACGTGCGCCTACGCTGACCAGCGCGCTGACTCCCCAGCCATCTCCGGCATCATCAATACTATCAACAGCACTCCCCAATGCTCGACCTGCACCCACACCCACAGCCCTGGACTCCTCTTGACACCCCGACACCCCTGTCTGCAGAAGCATCTCCTCTCCATTCATAACCAGGGGAGGAGCCTCTGCAGCCACGCGCTGGACAGACACGCAGACAGAGGGTGCTCGTGGCCCAAGGCAGAGGACCGCTTGCTAGTAACGCAAGGAAGGTCCCAACGCCTGGGCAGGCTGCCCGTGCACTCGAGGGGCGCAGGAGCCTAACGTGGGGAGCTGCACAACAGCCATGGAGGAGCAGAGGGTGAGGCCTGTGAACTGCGCTGTCAGACGGAGGGGCAGACCCAGCTGGGAGAACGGTGCAGCCAGCGTGCTCCGAAGGGGCAAGGGTGGAGGGGCCTCTCACATACTGTGGGGATGGGATCAGGAAAGGCTACTCCCGAAAAAGGGCATCATTCTCGGAAAAACAAAACCAGCAAAGGAGAGGAGTGTCAGTGAGATGGACTGACAGAGTGCGTGCGAGCGCACCCCCCCAGGCAGAGAGCAGCCCTGGTGAGCGTGAGCTTGTGCGTGAGCACACATTCACACCCCCCTCCCCGCAGAGTGCAGCCCTGGTGAGCGTGAGCTTGTGCGTGAGCACACATTCACACCCCCCTCCCCGCAGAGTGCAGCCCTGGTGAGCGTGAGCTTGTCAACGCACAGACGCACACACACACGCACACACACGGTGATGCCCTGTCAGGCAGAAGACCCACTGACCACAACACCCTGCACAGCAACCATCCGAAGCACCCACCCCAGTGTGCACGACATCAGAATGGGGACAACACAGCGACCACCCAGCTGAGGTGAGGTCAGGTAATCTGGTCATCTCAGCGCTGGCGAGCTAACTCCAACTCAGGAAACAGTCCCCCCTGCCCGTCCCCTCCTTCCAGGGGACACAACAGCCCTAGCAGGTCTCCCAGGCTTCAACAGAACAAATGGCCACACCCTGCTTCCTCAGAGTGGCTGGTGGGTTTGAACCACTGACCTTTCAGTTAGCAGTCTACTGCATAGCCTACGAGTTGTACGGCTTGTAAGGACTGTGAAGGATTCTGCAAATCCTGTGGGACCGTGACCCAGGGCAGCCCTACTGTTAGGCCATCAGGCACTTTCCTTGAGCAGTGTCACCAAGTGGCCAATCCCCAGGGCACAGGGATGACATAAAAGGTGTCCACGCACTGTGATGAGTGACGCTTGCTGACGTTCATCAGCTAAAACCAGGGCATGAGAAGACGCAGCAGGCACACAGAGGGAAGAAAAAGCTTACTTCTTTTGTAGTTTACGGTTCTTCTCCGCCTGTCCTCCCAACTTGCTAAGTCCCAGGGCGTCTGGAGAGGCATTTTCTGTCTCTGAGAGGCCAGCTGTGAGGAAGGACAGTCCCCAAAGCAAGAGTTAGTCAATCTGGCAGTACTGTGATAAAATAGGAGTGAAGCGGGGAGGTGTCCCTGGGCAGCACAATTAAGCGTTGGCTAATATCAAAGGCTGGAGGTCTGAGTCCTCCCAAGGCACATGAGATCTTGGTCAAACATTCTTCCAAGTGGAATAGCACTGGTCTGTGCATTGCTGTACAGAGGTAACTCGTGGTTGCTGTGAGGCTGAACACGGTGACACCGATGTGTCAAAAGTGATAATGGTCACCCATGGTGGACAGTGTTTGGTGGAGTTCCCTGATTAAAACAAGCTTGGAAGCAGGAGTGGCATCCACTTCTGAAATGGCTTGCCTCCAGAAACCCTATGAACCTGGGAGAAACGACACAAGTTATACAAGTGTTCAGGTCTTTTGTTTATGGGATCACTTTGAGTCGTCTACAACTCGACAGCATTTAACAATAACAACAACAACGAGGTATATCAGGAGAAAGTGCACCATAATCGACTTTCTAAAAATCAGCCACTGAAAATATTATGAAACTACAATAACAAGTAGTTGCTGAGGCTGCTTCTGTGAGCAAACATCTTGCGGGCGTGGGTCCTCGGTAAGGAGGTTTGGACGGTGGCTCCGCAGGCCATCCTGGTTAATTCGGAGCTTCTGTTCTACCTGACTTGACTGACAGTGCGGCGGGTCTCGAAGGCTTGCGAATGGTCACCGGAGGCGCAGGAGGAGCAGAGAGGAAAGGGAAGTGTGGGGATGCTTCCACCAATGGCGGCCGCCGCTGCCGTGACAGCAGAGGGGCTGGGCGGTCCCTGGTGAGTGCCACGGAACATTCTGATCCAAGAGTGTACAGCAGAGCCCTCATCAAAAGGGGGAACACAGAAGAGAAACTCTAGTCACGGAAGCTGGATGAAGTCCTGAACCTATCGTCTTGAGACAGTCTTTAACACGTTGCTGCAAATGACGGCAAAAAAAACACGTGTTTCTAATCACGGTCGTCGATTTAAGTGTGCGGCAATGTGTTAAAACATCAACCAACGTCATCTCTACGTCTTCTTAAACGAGAGATCTGCTGGGAGCACCATGCGCTGGTCAAGAGCCACTCAGATGGGATCCAAGAGGCAGCAGCACGTGAAAAGACGAGGCAGGAGCCCTGCGGACAGCGAGCTCATGTGCTCGAGGGAGGGACAAGCAGAGAGCACGGTGAGCGTGGCTGCAAAGCCCCAAGGAGGCCGTGCGTGTCGCTGAGAGTGCCGTCAGGAACCCCCGAGCTGGGGATGGCTGACGACGTAAATTCTCAACACCAACAAAATAAGATTTAACGAGAAGAACAAATCCCTACCAAGCACAGCTCACAGCTTTACACACGTCATTCCCCGACAATGAAACAGACACGCAAAGTACGCTGCTCTTGGCCCGGGAGGCAGTTCCAGTCTAGGGAGACAACCCAGCACTGAGCAGAACTGTCGCGGGTCTCCAAAGCTGTAGTCTTTATGGGGCCACATGAGACAGACACAACTGGAATACCCCTTATAAGAAAATGGTAGGAAGTCGTCTGAAGTATTCTCGACGTGCCCTCAACTGTCCCTAGTTCAGGAAAGGTGACCTGGTAAAGCAGTTGTGCTGAGGGGTCCTAGAGTCCTATCTGGCTTAGAGCGAACCCTCCAGAGGCATTTCGGTGGCAGAAAATCAGAGAAGAAGACGGTGCACTCTTCTCCCGAGGGGCAGCTGGTAAATTTGAACCGCCGGCCTGGGCTGACAGCCTAACTCCTTACCACCGGGTCAGGGTCAGCAGGAAAGGAGGGAGATTCTCCAGGACATGCACTGACTGTGAGGACGGCGTGACGGGCACAGTTCTGAGCTGCTGGCCGTGGGCTGCTCACAGCCGCAGACCCGTAGGACACCAAGTGTCAGAGCAGCACAGCTGCTGGGGCCAAACGGCAGGAGTCTGGTTAGCAACTAAGCGCTTAACCATCATGCTACCACCGCCCTGGAATTTACAGCCTCATCAACTAGATGGCCACTGCGAACTGACTGTTATGGAAACAACTTGTGTGTCTTCTGCACGTTGCTAGATGCAGCTGAACAGCCCACTCAGAGGCTGTGCGTCTCTAGACAGGCGGAGGCACTTAGAGCGAACGACGTCACCTGAGCGTCTCCTGCTGACCACTGACTGCGGAGAGCCGACCCAGGGGTGCGGACGTGTGTGTGCCCGTGTGCGCGGGGGGCTGTGCACAGGTGCATGCAGGATCCTGTGGGGAGCGCACGGAAGCCCAACCCACCTTGCCCCAGGCCTTCTCTGGCGGTCTGGCCGGGCCGGCCCTTCTCCTTCTTCCCAAACAAGCGGCCGATGGAGGACTTGATCCCCTTCTTCTTGGGGGCTTTGTGGAGCGAGTCCTGGCTGCTGTTGCTGCTGCTGGGGTTGCTCACGTGCCCGTCCTGGGAGCCTGTGGAGCTTTGAGAAAGGAGAATTTTTTGCTTTTAATAATTTGCACACTAGCAACACAGCACTTTAAGGACGTGAACGTCAGGCCTCAGTGAGTTCTACTCTGGCGCCTGACCCCAGAACAGCAGCTCTGACTTGCACACATGACCTCTCCATGCCACAGGTGACACGTGATGGCAGCGTACAGAACACCGGACAGCGGGGACTGCTCCCAGGAAGGGACGTGCTCCGTGGGCTCTGCTTGGACAAAGCACCCCTGCCCACCACGTGCACCCTGACCCTGGCAGTGGGTGAGGCTGGGAACCCTTCAGCAGCAGCTCTGCGAGCTGCCCCCCCCCCCCCCCCCCGTAAAGGGGCGCAGCGTGGCTCCTGGCTCGCACGTGCCCCCACTGTGCACTGCCTGGTTCTCTAGAAAAGCTTGCAAGCGGCAGCTCACAAAGGTGTCACTAACAGAACAGCCTGCTGGTCTCTCAGGGGAAGCCCAGGGCCGAGGGGGCCCGCACTCCAGGAGCTCATAGGACAAGCAGCCCAGAGGGGCACTGACCATGCCTGACAGAAAAGTCCAGAACTCAGGGCCGACGGACCACAAATGTCTAATTTGCTTGGCCAGCTCTCCATCAAGAACAGAACATTTCTCACACGGGCCAGTCTGTAAGACGGAGGAAATGACATTTTTCTAGATTTGCTGTTAGTGGCACTTGCGAGAGCGGGAAGCTGACAGCTGGCCCTGCTTTTCTGGGTCTCACAGGTCTCCTCGCTCCCCGACAGCCTTAGTCCGGTCCTACTGCTCTCGACTAGCGGCGAGTACCTGCATGGAGGACCCCCGACAGGTACCTGTCTCATGCAAGTTCACCTACATCACTCAGCCGTGCCCCTCCACTCCAGCTCTCCCCGCGGGGACAAGCACGTGGCTGGGCCTCACTGAGGCCTGAGCAGGCGGCCCCGGCCACAGCCATGCCCACGCACCTACAGTAACTAGTGGGACAGGAGAAAAGCACGTGTGTGAGACTGAAGGCCACGCCCAGGCCGCCCTGGCCGGGTGTCGGGGTGCGGCGCTTACTTCCGTACGTCCCTGATGTCCTCGTGGCTGACTGTGTACAAGGCGCCTTTGTGCAGCCTGTCCAGCCGCAGGGACCGAGGGGAGGAGGGCGGGGATGTTTCACATTTTATCGTTGTCTTGTCGTCTCGTACCTCTTCTCTGGAAGCAGGCAGCTGAGGGGTGGAGAGCATAAAATGAGTCAGCGGTGGACGGTGAAAAGCCACCCGGGACCGCATCTGGGCACCTGTAAGAGCCACACTGCCCAGTGCCGGAGGCCCTCTTCAGCTGACACTGTGTGGAGGTCAATCCCTCGTGTGGGACAGACGCGTCTCCTCTCCTGCCTGTGCCCAGGCCGGTCCATACCTGAAGACTCGGCCACGTGCTTTGGGCAGCACCCTCTCAGCTGCTGAGGACCAAGAAGTGACCTCTGTGGCACACGAAGCAACCCCGCTGGGGCCTTGCGCCAGTGACCTGAGGGGGGGGCAGGACGGCCCCCCGGCTTTCCCGGGTCTGTAACCCTCACAGAGGAAGAATGCCTCTTCTCGCAGAGAGCTGTGGGTTTAAACTTTCAACCCTTCGGTTCACTTCTTTAAAAGGAAGGGCTCTTTGCGTGGAAAGCAAAGCTCAAACCCCTCACTGTGACCCAGGCGGCGCCACCTGCTAGCTCCCGCGCCACTGGTTCTCCGAGCTGAGTCACACAGGAGGAGTCGGGCCCCCTTTCTCTTTGTTAGCAGGGGAACTATACTTGTTGCTGTTGCTGTACTGTCCAATCAGAACTGACCCACAGCTGACCCTCCGGCGGGTTTCCAGAGGCAGTTCACTGCACAGGAGACTGCCCATCCTTCTCCCACGGAGCAGCAGGTGGATTCGAACAGTGTGCCTTTGGGACTGCAGCACAGTTTCTAACCACCAGGCCACCAGAGATCCCTAACTCTTGACACTTGAGGGGGCAAAAACCTCTGGACAAAATTGTCCCCATCCTTCTGTCCAAGAAAAGGAGAGCCTGGGCTGGCACCTTGTTCCTTCTGAGAGATGTGGACCGCCGCTGGCTTCTACGGCAGCAGGTGGGAGGCAGAGCGGGCACACCCCGGCCTGGCACACAGGCATCTGGAGGGTGGGCTCTACGTGGAGGCTGCGAGCGGATGCCTGGACGGGAAGCTGTGAGCGGCAGTCAGCCACCGCTCACCAGTGTGAGGAAACCCACCCGCCCCGGTCACTAACACGAGCTCTCTGCCAGGGCCCAGCTCTTCCTCTCTGCACAGGAATGTGGGTTTGCATGAGGGCAGAGGCGAGAAGAAGGTAAGCTGGGTGCGGTGACAGGTAAGTGTCATCAGCTCCCCTGTGGGGCTGACTTGTAACTTTGCACTCTGGGAGTATAACCCTGTGTCCTCTGTCATAACAGATTCCACATTCTCAGATTCAACCAACCAAGGACAGAAAGTATTTAAGGAGAAAAAAAGCCATGTAGTGGTCAAAGCAGTCCCTCCAAGGCCAGAGGGGACGTAGCGTCTGTGTGCAGGCTAAGAGGTGTACAGCAGGTGGGAGGGGGCGCTACTGGGTCCAGGTGCGTCCTCTAAGGAGAGGTCACCTCGAGAAGGCTGGGAGCAGGCGGGAGGTCACTAGAGGTGATGAGAGTAGCCAGGAGGGCAGAGGATGAAGCTTGAGCGTCAGCTGAGAGGTGGTGGACGCATCCTAGGGTTTCAATGGCATGGAGTGGGGTGTCCTGTAGCCAATCCCCATCGGCTGAGGGATGCCTTGTCTGGCGTGCACTGGGATAAGCACTGAACGTGAGCTGCATCTGTCTGTCCCTGACCTGGGATTTCACAGGGCTGAGCCGACACTGTCTGACGTCACAGCTCCCAGACCTCCACTGAGAGGCAGTGAGGACGGAGCAGGTGGTGCTGGGGCCTGTGGGAGACTCCTCACTGATTGCTGGGAAAACTCTGCTGTTTTCTAATTTAAGACAACAAAAGGCTAAAATGGCTAGTGATTTACAGGAAACTGGGATAGGTAAGAATAAAAATTCCAGTCTCCAAAATCATTCATGTGAAGAAAAGTAGGGGCAGGTGGGGAGGGCAGCATCTAGGCCGAGCTGACCATTAACCCCATGCAGCGTAAGTAGCAGCTGGACAGGCACCGCCCTGTCCCCATGGCAGCATGGGCAGTGCGCCCCCTGCACCCCTCTGGAAGGTGTACCCCCACTGCCCACACCAGCAGGCTTCTGTCCATTCTGACAGGAAGTGTCTGAAGGCAGCGCCTGGAGGGAACGTCAGTGACATGCAGGAGGAGCGCAGGGGCAGGCCTGTCTAAGGGAGGCTGCGGCACGTGACACTGTGCACACCCCAGGCCTGACACCCACGACGGCCCCAGAGCAAGGCCGTGACCATCCACGCTGGGAGAGCAGACCCTGTGCCTCAGCGTGGCTCCTTCCTGCTGTGAGAGGCTCTTGCTTTACAGAAACAGCAAAGCCAACCTGGACGTTCACACTGGGCCAGCTGCGTGAGCGGCCAGGTTTACGCCAAGTCTCAGCCCCATGAGGAAGTACTACTGTCCCCACCTCAACTGGACAGGACAGACCAGGGCTCAAAAGGGCTGGGTGATCTCACACTCACAAACTCACCAGGGAGGACTGTCGGCCTGACCCCCCACTGCACTGCCCGGGGCCGGGCCACTGCCCAGCGACATGCACAGACCAGCTGCCCTGAGGACTGTGGCCATCTGAGAGGCCTGAGCAGGCCGGGCGGAGGTGGCCTTGGATGCAGTCACTGCAGCACTGCACCTGCTCCAAGAACAGGGATGCCTGGGAGTATGGGCTCGCCCCCCTATCGGGCAGTGGGGTCCACACGCTCAGTCGCTACAAGTTCCCTCACTGCAGTGGGCTTCACAGCGGGGGTATCTGTGGGTGGAGGAAGGAGGCAAGGCAGCGTGCGGCCCTCAGCACTGGGCCCGGCTGGCAGCCAGGGCCGGACAGCTGTGAGCTGGGATATCACTGTCATGAAATCTGGGCTCTTCGCGCTTCAAGACGGCCTCTGCTACAAGTGTGCAACAGGGAAGGCAGAGAACGGGAGAAAGGCACGGGGGTAAGTCTGTGCCAGGTGGGCTCTGACAACCAATGACGTGCCAGATGAGCTCAAACACTGTCGCTGAAACCACAACGACTCAGTTCCACAAGGGCCCGCGTCCGACTCAGAGCCGGGGAGGGCACGCTCCCGTACCTCCAGGTCCCAAAGCTTAGAGTAGCATTGAAAAGTTACCTTTCTACGATGCTTCCTGAGATCGCTAGGCTGACAGATGCGTGCAAAGAAACAGAGAGAAACCAGAGTTACTGTGGGCTCTGACGTCAAAGCGGGAAGGTCAGCATTACAATGAGGACGGTGGGACCGCCGAGCGAGGTGACTGCGGGCTGTGGCCGGAGAAGGGCACTGCCCTCGAGGACTCAACACTGCGCTCAGGTCGGTTAGAGCAACACCAAGTTATTACCTACCGAGATATGTTCTTGTTCTATTAGACACAGTTTATTAAAACATGGCACTTTAGACAAGTCTTAAAAATTGCTGAACCTAAACCAATCTTCTCTATAGCTTAGTTTTCTTTCATGGAACATACTTTAAAATATAAGAAGTTAATGCAATGTCTATTATAAAATGAAACAGCCTACATTTAGTTCTCCATATACTGAACATACCTTACCTAGAAATTCTCATAAAGAAAATGCTTCAAAAATCGAAGAGCTGCTGTGAGGTATGTGACCACCAAGCTTGCCGAACCGCGGACTCACGCCTCACACAGCGTCCTTTATGCCACTGAAGGGCCTGAGCTTCACAGAGAGGGGCTGTTTATGGTTCCTCTTAAAAAAACCCAGATTGCAGGTCGTGACAAGCCTGGGTCCGCTGGTACCGTTCTCCCAGGGCACACGCTCACTCAGGGTGCTGTATTTTGGGGACTCTAACAGCATCCTAAGAAATCCATCACTCACTGCACACCTCACAGAAGAACAGATGCACCGGGAGTCTCCACACTCCTGCGCCCACTCCACTGCCAACAGCCGCTTCCCCTGCTGGTCAGGTACTGAGTGCAAATCTCTGAGCTTCGCTTGTATTTTAAACGATTAGTCTATGAAATCAGTCTATGAAAGACATTAGCAGTGCACTTGTAAATAGATGAAACTTAAGAGTCTGGAAAACAAGCAGCACAAAGTCAAGTGCAGGCTGTGAAAGCCTTCCATTTGGAGGATGGCAACTTCAGCTGGGACCAAAGAGGTCCTCCAGGATCCGAGCACAGACGCTGACAAGTGCCCTTTCTCACACGTGCCCACACCTGTCAGCGATGGAACTTCCCGTTCACTGCCACGCGGGAAGGAGTTTCAATGAGAAAAAGACAAACCAGAGACAAAAGCAAGCATGCACCATAAAGCTCTGCCTGAGGCTGGGCACTGCCATCATGCATGCCCCTCGCCACCTGGGAGGGGTCATCCACGTCTACCCCTTGTCACTTGGGCACGCCTGTCCCTCGTTATCTGGGCACCGTCACTCTACGGCTGCCCCTTGTTATCTGGGCACCGTCACTCCACGGCTGCCCCTTGTCACCTGGGCTCCGTCATCCACAGCTGCCCCGTCACCTGGGCACCGTAACTCCACGCCTGCCCCTTGTCACCTGGGCACCGTCATCCACGTTTGTGCCTTGTCACCTGGGCACTGTCACTCCACGCCTGCCCCTCGTTATCTGGGCACTGTCATCCACACCTGCCCTTAGATTCCTGGGCACAGTCACCCATGCCTCCTCGTTGTCACTTGGGCACGCAGCAGAGCACGGGAGCACAGGAGAGGACGGGGCAGAAAGTAGGACACAGACCACACCCTGACAGTGGATGTGGAGAAGGCTACTGTAAAACCACAAACGTATGTACCACACAGGAAATCAGAACCAGTCACGGAGCCAGGGCTTGCCAGCCTGCACACTGAACCGCAAACCCAGAAAATCCCCAGAGCGCTGTCCCACGTGCCGAGGGCCAACGGGCCCAAGTCAGAGGCAAAGTGCCAGAGGGTGAAACGCTAATGGGTTAGTTAATGATGTGAACACAATGGTGTATCAGAACACTGCAAAGCAGGCCACTTGACAGGCCACTGAAGTGATTCACAGCTGACCTCACCATGTGTAGCTGGCAATCAGGCTAAAAATGAGCATGGATGCTACCAGGAACAACTATGAGGGATGGCAGGCCCTCTGCAGAGCAGAACCCCATGGGGTGCCCACAGCCTCACAGGGCGAGGGCAAGACACCCACTGAGCCCAAACCCAACACACCGCCAAACTGGGAGGTGTCCTCACAGTCACAAAGCATGACTGACAGCACCAGTCCACCTCGAGTCCAGTGCCCAGGATCGTGTGCAGGCCAGCAAGGGAAGGCACCACCTGCGGCTCAGCACGGGGTCTCTGCATGCCATGCATCCGAGCGGCCTGTGTGGTGCAGACCTTCGCTCCCTCCTTCCCTCCCAGAGGCGCCCCTGAAACAAGGAGACACACCTCTTTGCACGCAGCCCCAGCCACTGTATTTCTGTGCAGATGTCTTTGCCAAGGCGGCTGCCACAGAGTCGGTTCTCACTCAGCCACGTACAGGACAGGGCTGTCTGCCCACGGGGACTCCGCAGCAGCTCACCAGGGCACAGCACTCAGTCACTTCACCACCAGAACTCACTGTCAGTCACTCAAAGTCTCACTGCCACCAGGTCGGCGCCCACCCACAGTGACCCTCTGGATGATTTCTGAGGCTTAAGTTCTAACGGGAGGAAACTCCCTGTCTTGACTGTGCAGAGCCGCCGCTGGTGGATTCGAACCACTGGTGTCTCAGCCCTTTGGTCACCAGCACAACACCCCACGACCTTGGCCACCAGCAAACGCTCCCCTCTAAGGTGGAAGGCTCTTGACCACGCACAGGCGCACACGTGGGAGGTCTGGGGTGCCGGCGGTGACAGGGACACTGGCCTCCCCAGGCTGGAACTTCCTGCTGAGCGCTGGGCCACCAGCTGGACCTCTGAGACAAGGCAAGCCTGTGTCCAGAGCAAGCTGGACTCCATCGGCCTGGACTACCCGGGGCCAGGGCAGGGCCAGCGGAGGCAGGAAGGCAAATGCTTACCAGGGTCATGATGCCCAGTCTGTCCACCTCGCGGGCAGGGCTCTGGGGAATCCTCCTCGGGGTGGAGCGGCCGCTGCCTGGAGGGGAGGAGCCGGCCAGCGAGGAGGCGGGGTACGGGGGGATGGAGCTCACTGATCTAAAACGACCAAGATTGTCGAGGCTCCCGCTCCCGACCCTGCTCTCGATCTCCTCGGCCCGCTGCTCAGCGCTCTCCTTCTCCTCCTGGATCAACCTGCAAGGAAGCACAGGGTCAGCGCTCGCACGCCGCCGACGTGCGGCTGGACGCGAGCTGGACTCCAGCCCTGTGCGCCCACCTGTGTCAGGCACGCTGAGTCTAACTCCGAGAGGAGACGCGCACATCAGCTGGCCTCCGAGTCTGCACTCCTCCAGCGCCAGTCTCGCCCGGCCGCTTCTCATCCAGTTTACACGGAGGTTCCCCTACGGACTCGAAAACGCCAACGAGCGATGGTGGCCCCTCGAGGGATGGTTTCAACAGCGGTCTCTCACCTAACAGCTCCGATCTGCTCTCGGGGCAAAACCCAGCCAACCGCTTCACCTGCTGTTGTGTCAGGCGGCATCACCACAGCAACGACACAGAGGTCGTGTGGACAGCGGACCTGAACCTGCCCAATCCCACATCATCCGCGTGATCTGTGCCGCAGCCAATGCCCTGAGGGAATCACTGAGCCAATCCATCCCCTCGGGGGTCCTCCTCCTTTCTGCTGACCCTCACCTTCCCCAGCATGGCCCTCTCCTGGGACAGGTCCCTCTGGAAGATCTGCCCAGAGCAGTGCGGCGAGGTCTCCCCAGCCTGGGCTCTAGCAGCACTCTGGCTGCACCTCCTTCAGGCAGTCAGTGAGACCGTCCACACCGCTACTCCAAGACGTCAACTCTTCTGTCATCCTTACCCACTGTCTAACTTCCAGAAGCACAGACAACCCCATCCTGGCCTGGACTCAGCACACCTCAGTCCGGGAACGGTCTTTGCTCCTCCGACCTGTGCAGATGCTCTTCACGGCACGTTTCCTCAGTGCAGCGTGTCTCCTGCTCCCCTGACTGCTGCTTCTGTGAGTCCTGCTGGGACATAACCACTGACAGCCTCAGGCTTCTCCACCCACCATGATGGTGCCCAGAGGATCTTTGTTTTCTTGATGCTGAGATGTAATCCATATTGCAGACTGGAGTCTTTCATCTTCTGCAAAAGTACTTCAAGTCTTCTTCACCTTCTGCAAGCAAGGTTGTACGGTCTGCATCGATCTTGATGTGACACCCTTCTTGACAGAATCCAGCTTCTTAAAGGATCTGCTCAGCACACACTGAACAGGTATTAAGAAAGGATGCATCCCTGACACACACTTCTCCTCATTTTAAACCATGCAGTGTTCCTTTGTTCTGTTTGGACAAATGCTTCCTGATCTAGGTATAGGTTTTGGATAAGTACAATTTAAAGAGTCTGGAATTCCCATTCTTCTCAATGTTAGCAACAATTGTTATGATCCACACAGTCAGATATACGTGCATAGTGAGTAAAACCCAAGTGAACACCTTTATGGGATTCTCCACGTTCAGTCAAGCCCGCTCTGACATTAGCAGTGCCATCCCTCGTTCCACGGCCTCTTCTGAATTGAGCCTGAATTTCCGGCGGTCTTCTGCTGGTGTACTTGTTCTAGCTCCTTCTGAATAGTCTTCAGCAAGGTTGTGTCTGCATGTGGTATTAATGATACTGTTCAATAATGTCCACACTCTGTTGGATCACCTTTTTTGGGAATGGAAACAAACAGGGATCTCTTCCACTCAGTCAGGTAACCAGGCAGCTCTCTTCCAGTTTTTGACCTGCAGGGTTGCATGGGTTCCTTAAAACACCTCAAGTGGAATTCCATCGATTCCCGACTACTTGCTTACTGCTGATGCCTTCAGCGCAGCCTGGATTTCTTCCTTCGTTACTACTGGTCTTTGTTCATATGCTACTTCCTGAAATGGCTGTGTGGATCAATTCTCTTCAATCGGAAATCAAAACTTTGAAGCTATCTACATAACAAGTAATCATCTCCAAGTGCCGAAATCTCTAAAGAAAATCAGTGCTGGCTCTTCAAGCCCCAGCTCTACGCGAGGGCCTCTCTACAGACGCCTCTGACTTTCAGCCTCGAGTCAGCCACGCTGCATTAGCGTGCACGTCAGGATTAACAGACCTCTGCCTAGTGTGCAGTGTCTGAGTCAGGGCAGTTTTAATATCTGACCCTGCCAATAACAATTACTGTCCTATTAAATGACCGGAACCAGCAGCAATCTCAGCACTTCAATTCTACTTCTAGATGGAGAAAGTGGTTTTGTTTAAGCTGGGGTTTAGTGTTACTACTTAGGAGCAGCTCAGCTTGTTGGGTGAGAGAGGTCACCTCCAACAGCGTACGGTGAGCACAGACACAGAGCATGGAGCACGGGCACGAGGCGCTCTGGCCGACGCTCAACGTCCAGTGGGCGAAGTGCTCCAGACGCTGCCCCGTGTCTGCAGGGCAGAACAGAGGCGGGAGCTGCTGCTGCCTCCTCCAGCCCACAGCTCTCCAGGACACTCCCTGCCAGGCACAGGGCAGGCGTCTGCCCGGGCTGCTTCCAAGCACAGACCACGGGCCGAGCCCTGCGTGCTGCAAGGGGAGGTCACACAGGGGGACCCTGGCTTGCACTCAGGGTGGGCGCTGTGACTTGGACACACAGAGCCCACGCCGTGGTCATGGCAGGCAGGGTGGCCAGGGGCAGCACAGTCACTCTGAATTCCTGGCTCAACCCGGCACCCTGCTCGCCAACTGCCCTTTTTGACTGGAGGACAGAGCAGAAGCCTGAGGAAAGCAAAAGGATTTCAGCCCCCGCCCCCAGTCAGTCCTCCCGCCTGCTCGGCCCATGTGACTCCTCCTCTCAGGAGCAGAGGCGGATGCTGGCAGCCCCCGTCACAGCCTGTCTTCGTCTCTGGGACTCACCCAGCCCGGTGGCTCCAGCCCCAGTATCATGCACACACTGGGGGGACAGAGAGGATGTGACACAAACACCAAGGAGCCCTCACTGAGGACAGGGTGCTGGGATCCAGGGCAAACTCAGGCCTGAAGGTCTGTCAGACAGAGTACTGTACTTTACTGTACTGAACACAGAGCACGCGCAGGCTCAGCATGTGCTCATCTCTCGCTCCTTACGTGCAGTCCTGAGGTATACGGCGGCTGGTGCCGTTTTTCAAGAACACAGGACATTTTCATTGCTAGACAACATTAGGAAGATGCCTGTCAGCCCCCTGACGGAAAGGAGACAGCGGAGGGAAGCCCTCGCACCTGGCAGCGCCCTGCAAACATCGCACAGACCTGATCTCTTTGTTGATGGCATCCAGCTGCTCCTGAAGCATCATTGCCAAGGTCTGGGCATCGGCCTGTCCGCTGGGTGACAAGAGATCAACCGAGCTGAAGAGAGGGTCTCTGTCCTCCTCCCCGTCAGACACGTCCACGTCACTCTCAAAGGCCTGTGCGACATTTGCCAGGACACTAGCTTGCTGGGCGCGTTCCCAGTCCTGCTCATTCAGCGTTTGTACCTACAGACAAGAAAAGCAGATTTCAGCAATCATGAAGATAGGAGAAGAGTTAGGAGATGAAAGATAAACCTACAGGACCTTTAAAATGTTTCAATGGAAGCCCAACAGAGGCTGAGAAATGGGCTCTGCTTCGAAACTGTTGTTAGATGCCACTGAGTTGAGTTGAACTCGTAACAAGCCTATGAAGAGCAGACCTGGACCCGGCCCTGTCCTGTGTCATCCCTTAAACTCTGACCACTTGGGCCCACTGCTGCAGTCACTATGTCAATCCATCTTGTTGCAGGTCTTTATTGCTTTCGCTGGCCCTCCACCTTTCCAAGCATGATGTCCCTGTCCAAGAAGCAGCCTCTCCTAGCAACGTGCCCAAAGCATGAGAGACGAAGTCCACCATGTCTGCCTCCAAGGAGCACCCTGGCTGCGCTTCCTCCATCTCTCAGGACGTCGTCTACTGGCTCAATGGTGAGGACGTTCTGTTTTCTTGATGCGACGTGTAAATCATATGGAAGGTTACAGTCTGATCTCTGCAGTGTTTCAAGTCTTCTGCATTTCCTGCAAGCAAAGTTCTGGATCTGCGTAGTGCACGTCTAGGAGGAATGCAGCCCCCGAGCTCCTTAAAAGGCAAAGATGGCAAAATGTCACGTCACATATTCTGGGCATGTTTTCAGGAAGAGTCAGTCCTTAGAGGAGGGACACGCTGAGAACAGGGAAAGGCGGAGGGCCTTAAGATGGTTCCACGCAGTGACTTAACAAGCATGAGAGAGACTGGGCAAGGACGTCGCAGGCCAGCGTGAGGCTCAGGGCTGCGGTTCAGGGGGTCGTTCTGAGTCAAAGTCAACTTAATGGCACTTAACAACCACCACCAGCTTGGCGGGTCCCCTCTGTCGGAGGCTGACTCTAACAACCAGGAGCTGGCCTCTCACTTCTGAGGCCCAACACACGATGAAATGCCAACATCCCACAGCGCTGTGTGCTCAAAGGCCAGGCTGAGGCAGCTGCTCACCTGCAGCCTCGCCCACCTCCTGCGGGGCTCACTCTGAGCATGCTTCCCTATTCACTGGGAGAAACCTCAACGACCAGGACAGGTCCCATTTCCACTCCGGGTCCACGTCTGTGCGCCTGGCCTCCCTGTCCTGGTCACCACGTCATTCCTTCCTCCTTGTCTCAAGAATGAGCACTTTCCCTCTTGGTACTAGATCATGTCAATCAGGGTAAGAGAATCCAGAGCTGTCCTCCCACGTCCGCCCTCCCACGTCCGCCCTCCCACGTCCGTCCTCCCACGTCCGTCCTCCCAGCCGCCTCTGGAGCTCCCGTGTGCGCAGGTGCCACACCCCTCCGTCCCGCAGGATCGCGGTAGAAGTGGCCAGGGCGCCGTCACTCTCCCACCAACCTCAAGATCAAGCTCGCTGCCTCCCTGCAGCCCAGGAGCACCTGCCAGCTCACTCTCCGACTCCACTGCCAGCCCCTAGACTCGGTTCCCTCTCGAGCTCCCCAACCCACGGAACTCACCTCTACCGCCAGGCGCCACGTGGCAGCCTCTTCGTCTTGTGACACAAACGCCACACATATGCTACAACTCTTGAGCTTTTACAAAGTCTACCTGGGACTTATCAATTAGCGCCTGGACAGAACACCCACCTGCCTTTCTGCCACCTGCACTTGGTTCTCGCGGACACATCGACCATGACACGGCCTGACTCGGGCTTGTCTCCCCCAAACCTGCAGCCTCTTGGCCTCAGCCAGAGAATGCTATCCTTTCAGTCTAAACCCTCAGGGCCATCTAGATTCTTCTCTCTACACTCAGCCCAGCAGCAAGTCTCATTGGCTCTACGTGACAAGAAAGCCATGACTCAAGCACATTCCCGAAGGCCAGGACCTCCCCATGGCCAGCTCCCCCCAACTGCCAGGGCTCTCCCCACAGCCAGGGCCTCCCTCACACCAGGGCTGCCCCTATGACCAGGGCTCCCCCTATGACCAGGGCTCCCCCGACCGTCAGGGCCTCCCCCTGTTGTCAGGGCTCCCCAGGGCCCTGTACCTTTTCTCTGGTCTTCCCTTCGAGTCTATCCTTAGTACAGAAAACCAAAACCAAGCCCACCGCTACCCAGCCCAGTTCCCAGTAACACTGCAGGACAGAGCAGCCAGCGAGAGATGCTCCGTGACGCTCCCTGGGGACTTCCAGTTCACCGGCTGACCCGGTTAACAGCCAAGGCATGTGAGCTGCTGCCCCGTCACAGCTCCTGCCTCCTACAGCGTCCATCCAGAACCAGCCTTTCACAATGCAAATGGACAACACAGCGCTCCTGGGGAAGAGCCCTCAGTGGTCTCCAGTGTGCTCAGAGTGACGTCCTCACCCAGCCGCTGACCATCTGAAGGGTCAGCCCTTCGGCCTCGCCTCCCACGCCCGCCCTCCCTCGCTCACTGCCTGGTCTTCCAACAGGTCCAGGACGTCACACTCCGTCACCTGCTGTCCCGACAGCCTGGCCCCCTTTTCCCCGGCCAGTCCACCCATGGCCACATCCCCCTCATCAGCTCTTATCCTGAGTGTCACCCTCCCTGGATATGCACTTAAAACAAGGCTTCCTCCTCCCACACTGCCTTTGACGTGCCCACTTCCCTTCTCCCCTTCCCACCATGGTTCACCTTCAGGAGTCAGCGTCATCTCCCTCCCATCCTCTGAGCAACTTGCTTCTAACTGACAACAGTGACCATGAAGGTAGATGACTTCCAAGACTGAGACATCTTGGGCTTCTCCATGACCTCCAGTTGTTGTGGACAGGGCACCCAGGCAGCTCTGGGGAGGCTGCGTGGGGTGAACAGCAGCCTCATGCCAAGAGGCCGGAGTGTGAACCAGGACACGGCTCCTCCGGCCCCGCAGGCCTCAGGCCCGAGCCAGGCACCCTGAGCTTCCGACTCAGAGACGGTGAGCCATGAGTGACTCTCTGAAGCCACTGAGCATTCCTTTGTCAAGTGAAGGTAACTAAGGCAGCCTGTTCCCTTCTGCTTCACTCACTGTTACCTCTCCTCACTAGAACATAGCTCTGGGGGTGCGGAAGTCACGTCTGCCCTGTTCACTGCTGTGACCTGAGTGTAGAACGGCCTGACCTCCCTCACTATCCAGTGAGTGTGTGCTTGAAGTAGAGAAGGACACAGACACGGCTGCTGGACAGAGGAAAGGAGTGGAACTTTCATTTCATAAAAAGATGAAAGGGCAGGGAGGCTAGAGCACCGGAAACGGGACCACAAGCTGCGCTGAATGACGGGTGACGCGTGAGACACGGCACACGCCACCCAACACCAGGACACGCAATTCTGAGGGGAACCGAGATGACTGTGCAGACCACCAAAAGCCACAACAGAAACAGCGCAATAAAGAAAAGACAATGACCACCCGGACCAACGACCCTATTACTGCTTTAAGATCTTCCCAGCGGGCACCGCGGTCAAAAGCGCCTTGGCTGCCGCCTTTCTGCACGTCCTCTTGGCAGAAGGATGGGGCGGGAATGACCCTGCAGCCCCCGTCCTGAGCGGCGCACAGTCCTGCAGTCCCGCGGACACCTCCCTGCCAGCGGCCGGGGTCCAGAACGCACCTTGGAGGGCTCATCTCGCAGAGCGGCCAGCCGGCCCTTCTGGGTGCGGCGCAACACGGAGCCCGCGCCGTAAGCATCTGTGTGACTGTCGGCCACAGGGAACCTGAAGTCAGGGACGCTGCCCAAGTGCGGCCGGCTGGAATGGAAGATGAGAGAGTGCTGGTTACTAGGTCAGTGGAACCTGAGCTGGCCGATCTGGAAAATCGTTCACACACAAGAGTCTCCCAGGAGGGTATGTAAAAGCAGCCTGCCAACAGCAGCACCAGCCCACGCCCCGCCAGCACGTCGTCCTTCCATCGACCGGGGGAGGACCAGCTCGGATGTGATGGTCAGCCAGGCTCCACCTCCAGGCCTGGGGGCAGCCAGAGCCACCCACACTGTTCTGAACCTTGTTTGGGCCGAAGCTCTGCTCTAGGTTCTCCCTGGCTGACCAGGAGGAACGGTGGGTGACACCTGGGTTTGTACTTTGCCTACTGTGTCCAGACCAGGTGGAGCGGGTCTCGGCACTCCCACGTGGATGTGGAGTGGGGCAGCCTCCATTCTAGGGGGCTCAGGGATAGGAACCTTTTCTGGCTCTCCTATGTACTCTATTCCCACCGATCCTTCTAGAAGCAGGTTTAACCCCTGGGCTTACACATCTGGCCAGTAAGGGCGACTTTCATCCCCACGTACACAGCTGCTGCCTCAGGCCTACCCAGCGGCCTTTCAGAGTCACGCAGACGTTAACTCATTTTGTTCCTCACTGGGCCTGAGTTCCCTGATGATGTGACTCCAGGGCACCAGCCTCGACCCTCACCCGACTGCTGCCCTCTCTGTCTGCTCCTAACCTACATCCTCCCGGAGGGAGGCCTGCGCTACGTGGCCACATCGCTGCGCCCAGGACGGAGGAGGCAGGGCCCCTGTGTGCCTTACCCGTGATGAAGGGGGGCCCCTCTCAGCCTCATCTGGTCTAGTTCAGTCCGCAGAGCCTCTATGTTCAGTACCAGCTGTTCCTGCAAGACAGCAAACAACACAGAGCAGACACTGTCAGGAGTGGGGTCACTGACATCGGCCCTTCTGGGGACACTAGAGCCCTAACTGAATCCAAACAGCTTAACTCTGGAGAGGTTCCCTGTAAGACTATCAACACTAGGATGTGGATTACAAGATTTAGTCTGTAAGTCACAGGCGAGGAGCAGGACAGACAGCAAACGGTAACAAAGACCCCTGCTGTGCAGGGTGGGAGCACCGTGAGAGCAGGGGGTGTGGACAGCGTCCACCTCCTCCTGTACATGTCACTGAAAGCTTGAGTGGGCTCACTTCACATACGCACGTCCACTCACGCAGCCTGATCCCACTTTCCACATGGCAAGAGAGCAGCGTTTCTCTAAGACACCTCCTAGCCCCATGCCGCCCCATCAGCAGCCCTCTTGCACACTCGAGTGGGGCCAGGGACTGTGACCCAAACGTGCAGAACAGGTCAGAGCCTCACGGTGAAGCCCAGGAGGGGAGCGCGTGACCGCTCTACACTAGTGCCTTACCCTTCCTGTATTAGCTCCAAGCTGAAGGGTCACACTAGATGGACTGGCTCAAATGAAAGGGAAGCCACCTGATTCGTTTTACTCTTAAAACACGGCTACTTGAGGGAGAGAATAGTTTTAAAGTATTATATTTTAGGGCATTATGTTTATCGTAGGAGTACGCAATGAGGGTTGCAGAGTGGATTATATTTGGGGTTGGGGATGGGATTGGGGGAGGTGAGGGGGGGATTTGTGTACCAATGAGGGAGTTTTTCTTTTGCTTTTCAGGGAGAGGAGCAAACGGGGGTGGGGGTGAGCGGGGAGAAGGGTGCAACAATGAATGAATGGAATTCCAAAATCTCTGTAGATGTTCATTGAAATGAAAAATAAATTATTTTTAAACAAACCACGGCTACTAAAAAATGTAAAATTACTTTCGTGGCACCTCTTAGGCACTGTTTAACAAGTTTAATGCCAGTGCTGTTATTTATAATAAACCCAGAAAGGAGTCAGAACAGAGAGGCAGCCACACAGTCAGTGTCACAAAACATGTAAAAAGACACGTGACCCGCGTGTAGATACAGGAGCATTAAACATCAAGTCGGCAGGCCACAGTGGACAGGAAGTTCATGTCCACTTCAGCAAGCACGTGAAGCAGCCACACCGGCGCTACACAGCCCAACTCCGCTCCCGGAGGGCTCGAGACAAATCAGACTCACCCACCTTGTCATGCTGCGTTTCTTCTAGCTGCTTTTTTGCATTTTCAACTTCTCGTAACAGAGAATTCTAAAAAAAGATACAAGAATCATTTCGCACTGATTGTTTGAAAGGCTCATGTAACATAGTTTTGGTTGAGGGTTTTTTTCTTTCACAGGGGAAAGTGTGAATGCAGTCCCCACGAGCACAAATGATGCAGTCGAGTCTCCTCTGTTTGAGGAAATCGCAGGGGTCAGCACACCCAGAGCACAAAAGATAAGCCTCACCTGCGAAAACCACCTTGGTGATCACAGTATCCCCCCTGCCAGGTAAGTATAGATAATGTAGTATTTCATGTCATTTTTGTTAAAATAAACAAACAATGAAACCCCAGTCAAAACCAACTCATCCCAGCAAAGGAAAGGGCCGCACACCCTGATGAATGAACCGTGTGGCGGAGCTGTGGGGTGACACGCAGGCAGTGAACGAGGGGCAAACAGCAGTCGGTGCAGCCTGTCTCTCCACACGGACGCTCTGCAGCCCGAGGACGGCAGCGCATTACAGGCCGGGCTGGGAACTCGACGGCCAGCGACTCGAACGCAGCAGCTGCTCTCAGAGAAGAAAGGCTGTTCCCTCCTCAACGACTGGCAGCCTCCGACAGCAGCGCTGATGACCGTGAGTCAGCCTCGACTGGACAGGGCTCTTGCTGCTGGGCCAGTGACCCGATGACACAGCTCTGGACCTTGTCTTCTGCTGTCCCACCCTCACGATCTCTGACACTCCTGGGCCCACTGCTGCAGGCAAGTCTTCCTGGCGTTTGCTCGGCCTCCACCTCGCCACGCAGCATGTCCCTCTCCAAAGAACAGCCCCTCCTAGTGACGTTCCCAAAGTATGTGGACGAAGCTCCACCGTGTTTGGCTCCAAGGAGCGCCCTAGCTGTACTTTCACCAAGACATCTGTTCTTTTGGCAGCCCACGGGAGAGTCAGTACTCACTCCACCACCACAAGTCAAAGGCGTCAATTCTTCTGTTGTCTTTATTTACTGTCCAGCTTTCAGATGCGTAGCAAGCGACGGAACAGACCATGGCCTGACAGGCACACCTTAGTCTTCCATCTGACAGCATTGCTCTGCTGTAATTTGGAGAGATCTCTGACAGTGGACTTGCCCAATGCAGTAAGACTCCTGATGTCCTGCCTGCTGGTAGCAGGGGTGTTGCTGTATGTGGGTCTAAGTAAGATGGAACAGTTGACAGCTTCAATCTTTTCTCCATGTGTCCTGATGCTCTTCTAATGGTCATAGGGTTTTCAGGGTTCAGATCTGTTGTTCGTAGAGTTGCAATGGGTCGTACTCGACTCGACAGCACCTCACAACAACTTCATGATGTTACTTATTGGTTCACTGGTCAGGATTTGTCTTCTCGGTGTCGGGACACAACCCGTATAGAAGGCTGCTCAGCTGGCAAGGTAGTGTCATGTATGTAATGTAGGTTGGTGAGTCTTTCTCAGCTTCTGAAGCCACATTCTTCTTCACTGAGTCTAGCTTCTCAAATGATTTGTTCAGTATATAGACTACAGTCCTGCTTGGATCCACAATTAACACCCATGGTATCAACAGCCAGGAAATAAGGAGATACACTGCCCCGAGAAAATCTGCAGTTAGGAACCTCTCCAAATTATTGAGTAATGATTTCAGTTTGAGGACTAAGGTGCATCTGATTCAGGCCATAGTTTTTCCAATCACTTGCTGTGCATTTGAGAACTAGACAATGAATAAGGATGGCAGAAGAATTGATGCCTTTGAGCTGTGGTGTTGGAGAAGAGCACTGAACATCCTATGGACGGCCAAGAGAACGAACAAGAATGTCTTGGAGAGGGTGCAGCTGGAGTGCTCTTTGGAGGCAACAATGATGAGGCTTCTTCGCCTCACATACTTTGGGCATGCTGCTAGGAGGGGCTGTTACATGGAGAGGGACATGATGCTCGGAATGGAGAAGGGCAGGTGAAGGAGAAGACCCTCAAGCCCATGAACTGACGTGGTGACTGCTGCCACGGGCTCTTGTGTGTCAGGAAGTGTGTGAAGACGGTGTAGGACAGAGCGAGGTTCAGATCTTTTGTTCACAGGGTCACTATACGTCGTACTCAACTCGATGGCACCTAACAACAACATGGACTAGATAGGTATGAAAACAGTACAAAACCCTGACACACGCCTTTCTTAACTGTAAACCACGTAGGGTCCCCTTGCTCTGCTTCTTGGGCTAGGTATCGGTTTTGTACGGTCATAATAAAATGTTCTTCTTCTCAATGTTAGCCGTAATTTGTTACGATCCGCACAATCAAATGCTTATGTGCAGTCAATAAGACACGAATAGGTATTGTTCCGGTATTCTCTGCTTTCAGCCAGGATCCATCTGACATCAGCAACGATACCCCGATGCCATGGCCACTTCTAAACTTCCGGCTGTTCTCTGCCACTGCCAACGTATTGTTAACAGCTATTTTGGAGGGTCTTCAGCAGTATTTTGCTTGCATGTGATATTAATGAGCCCCATCCTGTTAGATCACCTTCCTTGGGAACAGAAGAAATATGGATGTCTTCTTGCCAGCCAGCCAAGCAGCTGTCCTCCAAATCTCCTGCTACAGACTGGTAAGCATGGCCAGCGCGGCATCTTTTAGTTGAAACATGTCAATCAGCATCCCACTGATTCCTGGGGCCTTACTTCTTGCCAATGCCATCAGTACAGCTTCAACTTCTTCCTTCATTTCCACTGGTTCTCGATTATATGGTACTTCTTGACATTTTTCAGTGTCAGTCAATTCGTTTTGGTAGAGTGACTCTGTGTATCCCTTCCATCTTCTTTCAATGCTTCCTAGATCATTCAAGATTTTGCCTACTGTATCTCTTAGTATTGCAACTAGACGCCTGAAATTATTGTTCAGTTCTTTCAACTTGTGAAATAGAGCAAGTTCTTCCCTTTTTATTCTCTAACTCCAGCTCTGTGCACATTTCATTATAAAACTTTGCTATGTTTTCTCGAGCTGCCCTTTGAAATCTTCTGTCCTTCTTTTTCACTTTGGCATCTCAACACTCTTTTCAGTCTCTTCTGATATCCATTTTGATAATGTCTTCCTGTTTTGTCTTTGTAACATCATGTAGCTCTCTTCGTGGATGATATCTCTGATGTCCTCCCATAACTCACCTGGTTTTCGGTCATTAGTGTTCAATGTCTCAAGCCTGTTATGGAGATGGTTTTTTAACTCAGGACAGCCTCAACGTCGTATTTTGGTAATTTCTTCCTGTTTTGTTTTTGTAATGATTTAGCTCTCTTTGTGGATGATATCTCTGATGTCCTCCCATAACTCATCTGGTCTTTGGTCATTAGTGTTCAATGTCCCAAGCCTGTTATGGAGATGATTTTTTTAAAACTCAGGTAGGACAGCCTCAAGGTCATATTTTGGTTCTTGTGGATTTGTTTTCCTTTTCTTCTGCTTCATTCTGAACTTGTACATGGTCTGTGCCACAGTCAGCATCTTGCCAGTTTTGACAGCTAAAATTGACCTTCTTCAGTGATTCTTTCCCCAGACATGATCAATCTGATTCCTGAGCAGTCCATCAGGTGAGGTCCTAGTGTAAAGTCACCTTCTGTGTTTTGTAAAAAAAAGGTATTTGTGATGAAATCAATGAATAGAAAACATTCAATCATTCTATGTCTCTCCTCATTTCTAGCACCAAGACTATACTTTCCGACTACCATGCTTCCTCATTATTTCCAACTTCTGTGTTCCCATCACCAATAACTATTTCTGCATCTTGACTGCATGTTTCATCAATTTCTGACTGCAAAAGCTGATGGAAATCCTGCATTTCCTCCTCTTTGGCTTTAGCTGTTGGTGCATATATTTGAGTAACAGGTATTAACAGGTCCTCCTTGCATGCGCGTGGATTAGTATAACTCACAAATGTGGACTTTAGATCTTAAAATTGCCTTTTTCACTATGAATACAACCTCATTCTTTCTCAGTATTCATTCCCAGCATACTAGACCATACAGCTGGCTCAGAGTGGCTCAAGCCTGTCCATCTCGCTCAATCATGTCTAGAATGATCTTCATGCATCCCATTTTTTTGACAAATTCAAGTTTTCCTTTATTCACACTTCATACATTTCCTGTTGATAGGCTTTTCAGTGGCCTGTCATTTCAGAGTGGATGACCAATCTCTCTTCCTAGTCTGTTTAATCTGAGAGCTCTGTGGAAAGCAGTCCACCATGGTGACCCCGCTAGAATTTGAAACACAGTGGCACAGTGTCCAGAACACACAAGTTACCCCAGTACAAACAGTAAACTGACAGACAGGTGCTAGACAAGAAGAGTAAAAAGAAACAAGCAGCACAGACACACCTGAGCTATAAACTGTTGTTATACGCGGTCAAGTCACTTGCAACTCAACGTGACCCTACAAACAAGAGCTTTGAACTCTGCCCTTCCTGAGTCAACCTCACCGTCTCTGACACACGTGACCCTTCTTCCAGTCACCGTGTCAATCTATTGCATCTGGGTCTTTCTCTATCCTCTTAAGCATGACGTCCTTTTGCAAGAATTGGTCCCTCCTGGCAACATGCTCAAAGTACGTGAGATGGAACTCTAAGATCCTTGCCTTCAAGGAGCAACCTGGATTCGCCCAATCCTGGACAGACCTGTCTGTTCTCTTGGCAGTCCATAGTATGTTGAGTACTCTTCTCCAGTACCACAACTCAAAGTTCTTCTTCTTTCATCTTTGTCACTGCTCAGCTTTCAGATGCACAGCAAGCAAATGCACCCCGTGGACTGACTGAATCAGGGATACCTTAGTCTAGACTGACCCCATTGGTCGATAGCACTCTAGAGAGGTCCCTGATAGCAGACTTTCCTGAAGCAACTCGTCTTTTAATTGTGGAGCCGAGCAAGAGGAAACTGTTAACAACTTCAATCTTTTCTCCAATCAAGCATGATGCTGCCAATTGGTCCAGTAGTGAGAATCTCTGTTTTCTCGATGTTTATATGCAATGCACACTCAAGACTGCAGTCTTTGAACTTTTGCAGCAAACACTTCACAAGTTCTCTTCAGTTTCTACGAGCAAGGTTGTCATCTGCGTAATGCAGGATATTGATGAGTCCTCCTCCGATCCTGATGCCACCTTCTTTTTTATAAAGTTAGCAACAAGCAAATCACTCCCCCAAGTCAATGAACTGACAGACAGTTGTATTTCTAACAGAAAATGGTAAAGAGAACCCAGTGTATGCACACTGCTCTGAGACTAGTATTCTGTTAGTGACAATGGCATATTATTAACCTGGCAATGGTTTTGGGGTTATATAGAATTTGTGGGTTTGGTTTTGGGGGTACAGAGAATTTGTTTCCCACGGACTGCATTTACTAAATGAGGCACACATGCCACAGTGAAAGGGAATCAGCGGAAATGGTTTAACTTTTAGGTTCTGCAGTTCGATGGTCAACTGACAATCTGAAATTATCAGTGAAGAATTCAAATCCAACATAAAAACTCCAGGGCTAAGGGGGGATCTGCCGATAGTGGGCTTAGGAGCAGTCACTGTCTAGAAGTGCTCTCTGGAACCCACGTCAGAGGAGTTTCTCTCAAATGAATGAGAGCATACGATTGAGGGTGTTCAAAGCAGTATGACCTGCGCTCATGTGCCGTTCTCCAGACGGCTTGGCTTCCGAGCGTCATCTCGGGGTGCCCTGTGAACACACTCTGCCAGGTCTAAGCAGAAGACTGACCTCACTGCTTCAACAGACTCCGGGGCAGCCCTCCACTCTGCTTCTGAGAAGAGCACTGCCATCTCAGGCTCACACTTTTCCGAAACCAAATGGTAGAGAAAAAAACCCAGAATATATTTCTGTAGCTGAACGGGTGCTTTTCATTACAGCACACTGTTACGGAGCTATGTTTATGAACAGAACAGATATGAACATGCACTGTAAGGGTGCTGGCAAACCAGCGTGTGCCGGCCAAATCCGCTCCACTCTGCTTGTATACATAAAGTTTTACTGTAATACAGCCCTACTCATTGACTGCTGTATTATCTGTCTGCTTCTATGTTTATAGGGGCACAACTGAATGGAAGTCTAAACTACTTACTATTTGGTCTTTTGTAATAAGTTTGTTGGGGGGAGGAGTGGGCAGGGAGGAAAATACGCAACAATGAATGGATGGAAAAGAAATTAAATGGGAAGAATATGCTATTGAACAAAATACATGTTAGAGAGTTCTGGAGGCCTAGTGGCAAGAAGCTGCACTGTAAACCCAGAGGTACGCAGTTCGAATCTACCAGATGCTTTGCTGGAGGAGGAGGGGCAATCTCCTCCTGTATCAGTCAGATCCCATTTGACAGTACATACAGACAAAATAATCAAATTATTTTTAAAAATTAAATATATATAAATTTGAAAAAATAACCAATCATAATTTAAAAAATTTATATTAAAAAAAAAAGAAGTTTGTTGATTGCTATTCTGGAGATAGAAAATGTTAAAAAAATTCCAAATGCACAGATGGGGCTACAACATGGCAGATAACAAGTGAGTGAAGGGCGAGGTTCAGTGTCCTCCAGGGGGCCACCTCTGCCCTGTCAACAGTGGACCGTGGTCATGCACTAGCCCTCCTCCCAGGAGCCCTGCAGGTGAGCTCTGTGTGCAACACCCACCTTGTCTTCCAGAGCAGCCATTCTCTCTTTGAGGTGAAGCTGAAGCCTCTCATTAGATTCTGAGAGGAGCTTGTCCACAGTGTCTGATAAGCGTTTATTATGTTCTTCGTTCATTTTCTCTCTTTGCCGCGCCTACGATGAGAATCAAAGCACATCAATGCTGAGTACGAAAGTCTACCACTAAGTTACCAACGGGCCCTCACTCCCCACCACCATCTCTATCAGACGAGAGCGTGACCACCATGGCTGACTTAAGGGGGGGCAAGAGCCGACAGGACTTGGAGCAACCACAGCGAGAGGAGAACCTCACAGCGCCTGGGGAGCCACTGCAGCTGCCAACCACCAGCCTCAGAGGTGTTTATGTGTGGGAATTGGGCTGTTTCAAAGGACCAGCTCGTGTGCACAGTGCTGGAGGAATTTTCCTTTTCAACAAGAAAACTTTATAAAGAACCATGAACAACCATTTCCAAAAGATCAGTGGATCGATGAATAAACTGAAAAGCCCTGAATGATAACTTTCAAATGAGTGAATTGTACGGTATGAGATTCAGAACCCAGCAACCAGAGCAGCAGTACTAACAGAACCACTGCTCACCCACAGACGGAAAGCAGCAGAGAAAAAGGAGGCAGCCCTCCACCTCCCTCCGTACCCTGCATTCCCAGAATCTTCTCTAGTCACGGGTTCTACTGAAAATCAAACTGCTGCCTCCAGTAACTTAACAACTGGGTGATAAAAGTGCCATCTGTGTTGTCCTTGTGCCTGCTCTTGGGTGCTGTCCGCCTGCTTTCAGCACAGAGCGAGGCGTGCTAGGCAGGGTATGCTGATTCCCTGGTACTTCCCCGCTTTGGTCGAGCACAGTTCTGCAGCCGTGTCCACCCACCTCCTCTCTACTGCTGACCTTCTATGCGCTGAAAACATCGCAAACCATGTGAGAAAAAACCATCAGCACCCTTGCCTCTCAGGAGCGTTCTGGCTGCGTGTTCTTCAGAACAGATTTGCTTGCTCTGCTGACAGTCTACGGTAGATTTATAAATCTAATAATTCAAAAGCATAGGCCCTTCGCTCTGTCTTACTCCCTGTCCAGCTGTCACAGGCTTTCACTACAACAAGAACAGGTCAAGTCCATCCTCACGGTGACACCCTTGCTCCCTGGCACTTTAAAGAGCACTTCTGCAGCAGACTGGTCAATGTCAACACACTACTTAACTTCGTGACCGATGCTGCTGTGAAATCCTTGACAACTTCAACCTTCTCCCTATCTATGATGGTGTTCTTATTAGTCCAATTGTAAGAAATTTTGTTTTTTTCAAGGTGAGGTATCATCGACACTAAAAATTGCAGTCTCTGATCTTACTCTGGAAGCGCCTTCCCTTTCAGCTCCCATGGCTGTGGGTTCTGTGCAGAGCAGACTGTGGCCGAGTCTCCCTCCAGCCCTTCCTCCTCCTTCCTACAGTCTAGCTTCTGGGACTACCTGGCCCGCACACACTCATCAGTGTGACTTAAAAAGATCCAGCTCTGCCGCACACCGTCCAGTATTCCCTTGTTCTGCTCCAATGACTGTCTCTGTGCTCAGGTTCTGGACAAGCACAAGTAACTGTATCACAACGGGATTCCCACCTCTGCACTGCTCAATGGCAAATGTCTTCGTAGAGCCAATAAAGCACAGCTACACAGCTCCCCGATACTCGCTACTTCCAGCCAAGGTCCTTCTGATGTCAACAACGACAGCCCTCATTCCAAGTCCTCTTGGGAATCCAGTTTGAATTTCTGGCAGTTTCCAGTTGATGTACTCTCTTCCAACCATCTTCAAATTCTTTTCAACAGTATTTTATTTATTTGCAGGTGATGTCAATGCTACTGTTTGATAATTTTTGCATTTTGTTGGGTCATCTTTCCTTGAGACGGGCATAAATGTGGAGCTCAGTCAGTCAGCCAGCCATGTGCCGCTTTGCAAATATCTCTTTTTCTTCTTCACTCACAGAAAGCGAGTGTATCCACGGCTGACTCCTTTGAGGAAATAGCTCCGTTTAGACCCTGCCAAATCCTAGAACGTTGTTTTTCTCCACCAGGGAGCCCTAGGAGCTCAAGTCCACAGGAAGCTGTACCCAACCCACCGGCAGCTCTACGACTGGAAGCTGGGAAATCTCTTCCCACGTGACTAACGGCCTGGGAAGCACAACGGCAGGTGAGCTGTGAGTCGTTTCCAAGAGGAAGGCAAAAAGAGACTTTCTCAGCGACACCTTCAGTGCGGTTCTGACTTCTCCCTCCAGTGCCAATGGTTCTTGATCACGTGCTGCCCCAACACGACTGCACAGCGACCACGTCCTTTAGGGATCACCGTTAGTCTGTCAGTTTGCCGTACTCTGGGGCCTCGTGTGTTGCCGCGATTCTGAGAGCTATAACCCGGGTTCTCAAATCCCGCAGGGTCCCCCACAGGGGACCGGCTCCAGGGGAGCTTCTAGACACAGAGTCAAAGAAGCAGAACTGCTGACTCACTTGTGAAATAACAGGCCTCTGAAAACATTATGGACAACGGAAGAACCTTACTGGAAGCCACGTCCTCACGCCGGAAGGCCCTCACAATGTGCCGGGAGGAGAGCTGCCCCTCAGAGCAGAGGAGGCAGGGCCAAGTTCTCACCGAGCAGAGTGGCCACAGTCAGGATGAGAAGAAACAGCTGCAAACTCCATCAGCAAGTGGAGCACGACGTGTAAAAAGTGTGTCTAGGAAAACCAGAAGTTGTAAAAAATGAAGCGGAATGCATAAAGATCGACATGCTAGACACCAGTGATCTGAGTCGGTCTGGGATTGGCCGTTTGAACCAGCCGTATGGCCAACTGTGACAGAAGGGACACATGAAGAGGAACAGAGTGTCACTCCCTGTCCAAGAGAGCGCCTCAAGGTTCATCCTGGGACACGATGCTGGGCTACAGAATTGCATCCGCACGCAGACAAGGAGTCCTGATAATACAACTACCATTCAAATACATGACCCAATTACAAAAGCCAGAGATGCAGAAACGGAGAACTTCTACCAACTCTTGCAGTCTAAAACAGATGACATACGCCATCAAGGTTTGTTAATAACTGGTGACTAGAATGCAAAAGGTGGAAACAAAGAAGGATGCCTGGAAGCTGGAAAATATGGCCTTGGTGATAGAAATAAGGCTGGAGACTGCACAGTAATGTCTTCACTGCACACACGTAAAAACAACAACAACAGAACCAAACCAGACACTGTGACTATACAAGGAGACTCTATCTGATAACCTACCCAAGAATAAGATTAACTGTTTGTGGAGACACAGGAGAAGCTCAGTATTAACTGTCAAAACCAGGCCTGGGCTGACGGTCAAACAGACCATCCACTGTGGTTGCTGTGTACTGTAGACTTAGAATTGACCCATAGTTGACCAGCTGGTGGGTTTTTAGAGGCATCAATCACATGGGAGGAGATTACTATCCTCCCACAGAGCAGTTGGTGGATTTGAACTACGTGCTTTTGGGATTGCACTGCAGCATCTTGCCCCTCTGCCACCAGAGCTTCCTAGACCATCAACTTCACATGCAAATTCAAACTGAAGTGGAAAAAAATGAAAACAAGTCCATGAGAACCAAAATATGACCTTGAGTGCATCCCAAATGAATTTAAAACCCATCTGAACAGATTTGACTCACTGAACACTAATGACTGAAGCCCAGGTAAGTTGTGGAATGACATCAAGGACATTATCCATGAAGAATGCAAAAGGTCATTTCATGACAAAGAAAAAAGAAAAGCCCCAAATGGGTGTCACAACAAATTCAGAACACTGACATGGGAACAAAAAGCCGAACAAATGGAAGGACTACTGAGACAAGAGAGCGGAGAAGGAGCAGCTTGAGAAAACAAAGTATTAAAATGAAGTATGTACGGAGCTGAGTTAGAAAACCCAAACCGAAGAACATACTCAGTCAGCATGTCTCAAGCTGAAAGGACTGAAGAATAGATTGAGGACTGGAGTAGCAATACTGAAAGACCCTATGAGCAAACTCTTGTATGATGCAGGGGAGGAAAAAAAATCACAAGTAGATGGAAGGAATACACTGTACCAAACGAACAACCTGGAACCACTTCAGGAAGTAGCATATAATCAAGAACCAATCAACAGTATTGGCGGAAGTCCAAGCTGCACTGAAGGCACTGGTCAAACATAAGACATCAGGAAGGGATGGAATTACTTGGTGGTGTTTCAGGAAATAGATGCAGCCCTGGACATGCTCACCAGTCTCTGCCAAAATAGGAATATAGTTACCTGACCAACTGACTACAAGAGATCATATTTGTTCCTGTTCTTCTTCTTCCCCAACCCCTTGTTCCCATTCTTATAAAAAAGGTGGTTCAGCAGACTACAAACTACTGAACAATTCTCATTCACAGCACACACGGATAAAATCTTGCGGAGGATTATCTAAAACAGGTGAGTGGTAAGCGACAGGGAACTGCCAGTGCTTCAAGCTGCTAGTTAAGAAGAGGTCGTGGCACAAGGGATGGCATTACTGCCGTCACATGGATCTTGGCCGAAAGCAGAGAATCCCAGAAAGATGCTCACTTGTGTCTTAGCGACTAAGCAAAGGAGTTTGACTGTGGGATCGCAATCAATTACAGCGAACACGGAAAAGAATGGGAATCCCAGAACACATAATCGTACTCACGTGAAGCCTCTACAGAGACCAAGCAGCAGCTGTCTGGACAGAACAAGGGAACGGTGCAAAAGGAGGCAAGTTGCATGTCAAGGCTGTATCCTTCCTCCGAACCCACACCAGTCTGGGTACTGAGGACATCAGTCAGGAGGTCAGTCTTTATGAGGAGGACCTTGGCCTCAGGATTGGAGGAAGGCTTGTCCACAACCTGCACTACGATTATGCAGATGACACAATCTTGCTTGAATAAAGTGAGAGAGACTTGAAGTATTTATTGCAGAAGATCAAAGACTACATGTAGCCTTCAACATGGATCATACCTCAGGATCCAGAAAATAAAAGCCCTCAGCACAGGACCAAAATCATGACAGATGGGAGAAAGAGATCGATGTTAACACTGAATGTGACTTGGATCCACAATGAAAACCATGGAAGCAGCAGTCATGAAACAGAAATATGCATCTGGGAAATCTGCTGTCAAGACTTCTCCAAAGTTCTAGAGAGCAAGGATCTCCGGTTAAGGACTAAAGCACACTTGATTCACACTTGGTCTTTTCAACTGCTTCCTGTACATCTGAAAGACGGGAGATAGATAAAGAACAACGAGCGTTGAGGATGCTTCTGAACTGTGGTGATGGCAGAGAGTAATGGGCACCCAGTGGAGTGTTCAAATCCGTCTTTAGGGAAGCGGAGGCAGAGTGCTTCTGAGAGGCAAGAACGGTGAAACTCTGTCTCAAATCCTTGGGCATATCCTCGGCAGGAACCAATCCTCAGAGAGTGACTTCATGCTAGGAAAGGTGGACGGTCCGAGAAAGAGAGGAAGACCCTCAACAAGGCGGACTTGACACAGTGACCAACACAATGGACTTGAACATGACAGGTCAGGAGGATGGCGCAGGAAAGGGCAAGGTTCCGAGCTGCTGTTATACACAACTTGGCAGCATCTAATAATAACTTTTAGTGCAGTGACTGCATATTCCCTGAATCTTGTTTCAATGCTTCCTTGTTGTTACGTGACACTGAGACCCCTGTGACTCACAGCAACCCTATGTACAATAGCTGTGAACCCTGCCCCAACTGAGCCAGTCTCATAGTCGCCGACAGACCGAATCCCATTTCTCTGCAGGCACTGAGTCAATCCATATCACTCCAGGTCTTCCTCTCCTGTGCTGTGCCTCTATCCTTCCAAACATGATGTCTTCTCCAAAGACAGGTCCCTCCTGGCCACGTGTCCAAAGCACGTGAGATAGAGCTTCAAAATCCTTACCTCCAGGGAGCAGCTTGGTTTCACCGTCTCCAGGACAGACGTATTTATTGTCCTGGCAGCCCACGGTATATTCAACACTATTCTCCAGCGCCACAACTCAAAGGCATTGATTTGTCTTCATCCTTAGTCATTGCCAGCCCTCTGATGCTTCACAAGTGACTGCAAAGACCATGGCCTGTATCAGGCGCACCTTAGTCTCCAGACTGACTCTTAATACTGACATACGAGGCACGGGCAAAATGAAATGAGGCTGGCATGGAACATTTCGAATCAGGTAATCACACAGCTTTAGTTTGCTTGGCTCCACAGTCACCAATCTTGGCACCAGTAGCCAGGAAATTAAAAGGTGTATTGCCATGGGAAAGTCTGCTGTTAGGGACCTCTCCAAAGTACTGAAGAGAAATGGTGTCCCCCTGGAAACTAAGGTGTGTCTGATACAGGCCATGGTCTTTGCAATCACTTGTTATGCATCAGAGAGTTGGACAATGACTAGGGAGGATCAAAGAAGAATTGATGCCTTTGAGCTGTGGTGCTGGAGAAGAGTATTGAATGTACCCTGGACTGCCAAGAAAACAAACAGATTCATCCTGGAAAGGCTTAAACCGAGTGGCTCCTTGGAGGCAAGGATTCTGAGGCTCCGTCTAACATACTCTGGACATGTTGTAAGGAGAGACCAGTCCTTGGAGGGGGACATCATGCTTGGTAGGGTGGAGGGACAGCACAGGAGGGGAAGGCCCCCTATGAGATGGATTGATTCAGTGACTGGGGTAATCAGGATGGGTATGTCAGAGTACGATTGGCACAGGACAGAGCAGAGTTTAGGGCTGTTGTACATCGGGTCTCCATGAGTTACAAGCGACTCGATGGCACATAACAACAACAACAACAACAAGAACAAGCAAATGATCTACTATGCTTGAAATTAAAAGGTGAGGAAAAATGAGGTTGCGTTCAGAGTTAAAAAGACCATTTCTAATAGGGAGCTCGGGTAGCCTAGTGGCAAGAAGCTGTGCTGCAATCCAGAAGATGCATGATTCAAACCCACCGGATGCTCTGCTGGAGAAGGAGGGGCAATCTCCTCCTGTGCCAGTTGGATTCAATTTGACAGTACACAACTTTAAAAAAAAGACCATTTCCAGATCCATCTTGAAATACCACATTGTGACAGGATAATACCCATATGAATATCATGCTGCTTCCCGGCCACTCAGTTCTGTGCCCACAGAACCCATCACCCTGTAAGTCAAGGCTCGAACCTTCAGTTCTTTGAGCCTTAAGAAATGATGCACACACCCTTCCCTTGCTCTTTTCTCATCTAGGACTTTGCACATGTCACTATAACTACTTGACTTTGTCCTCTTGAGCTTTCATTTGAAATCTTTTGTTTGGTTATCTTACTGTGTCATTTCTTGCATTTGCTTTATCTACTTTATATAATCAAAAGCAAGTTTCCGTGTTTTCTGACATCAACATTCATCTTTTTTTTCTCTCCTGTCTTTTCAATGATCTTTGCTTTCTTTATGAATGAGGTCCTTGATCACGTCCCACTACTAGTCTTTTACTCCTCAACGTCCAGTACGTCAAATCTTGAGGTGGTCTTTCCATTCCGGAGGAATATACTCAAGGATTACACTTCAGCTGCGGGGGATCGCTTTCATCTCCAAACCCTCAGCTTCCACTGACGATGCGCTTCTCGACAGGCCCGGGCCAGGCGCTGACCGCTGGTTCTGAGACTGTCCATCAGCTCGCCGCACATGCCATCCATGTGGTACAGACCATGTGCACCGTCGCTGTTAGGTGGCCGACTCACAGTGACCCTGTAGACACCAAGGAAGGACGTCTCGTCCAAGCCTGCACTGTCCTCACAAACTCCAATGTGCTTAAAGTCTAGTGTGGGGATTTTTAATACATTTTTAAATTGTGGTTTTAACAACAGTTTACAGCAAAGCTGGCATTTCATTCATTCATGCTGCCCAAGTTTAAGCTTACTGTGCAGTCACTGGGTGAACCCCTCTTGGTGGGGGGTGTCTTCCTCTTTTCCGCTGGCCCTCTACGTTTGGGTTTTTAATGTCATAATGTTTTATTTACTGGCCCTCTACTTGTCAAGTATGACGACGTTACCTTGAGGAGACAACTCTCCCCGTTATATATTGAGTACCTTCCAATCTGAGGGCCTCACCTTGGGGCAGCCTATCAGACAAAGCTCTGCTCAATAACGTGCAGTCACCACAGTCGTCACAGACTGACCAACGAGTGCTGGCCCACGTGCACGGCTGTCATTTACATTGCTGATAGAATTCTCGTCGCTGCAAAGTGTATCACGTGATCTCTGTTACCGGTTCTGCCTCCCGCCGCAGCTCGCTCTGCATCTCCTCTGCTCAATGCCCATCAGCGGTTATTATCAACACGTCGTCATCACTGCACATGTGACCAAGTTCAAACGACAAGAGTCGGCGCAAACCTTCAACTGCTGGCTGGTGTGTAAATGGGAACACTAGTACTGACTGGCCACTAAGAGTGGACGTCACGACTGACGCTGGCACGACTGTCAGGACAACCACCGTGCTGCTGCTTTTCTTCCGTCTGTCATTGCCGGCATCGAGCATGGCTGATCCGGAATGGCCGGGACCCGGCTGTCTCTGCGCTCTAAAGCACAGGGCAGTGGTTTTCAAGGGTTTTGCTTCATTTCTGTAAGATCAATAACCCCCAGGCAATGTCATGGTTTGAAAACGTTTTTGGCTCCATGTCCTGAGCCACAGGCGACACCTCGAAAGGAAGGGAAGTGCTCGCAGGCACACGCCTCCAGAGTCCTCCCTCCGGTCTCTCCCTCAGGCCCTGAGGAAGCTGCAGGCTCACTGGGATCCAAGGGAGACGGCAGTGCCCTCAGGCCACGCTGCTCCAGGAACTTGGCATGCTAACGCCAAAGAGATCGCCATGTGACCAGGACATGACTCTGCCTCCTTCACCTGGCTTTCTCCTCTTTGGAATGAGGACGCGGTATTGCCCAGGTCAGGGCACTGGAGGGCTAGAGCGCTCACAGTAACGCCTACGCATAACTGTCTGTGCTCAAAGAGATGTAGTCCCAGCTCACAGAACTCTGCTCCTTTAGGAAACTGTACTTACTTTCCACAGGATTTGTGCATTTGTAAAGGGAACAGTTTCTTTCAACTGCCTTGCTTCTAAGCATTTTCTCTATTTCAGCACTTAGTCCTCTAGACCTTTTAAGTGCTGTGAAATGAGGAATACGTGCACACAAACCCCGAGGCCGCTCTCCGGTCAGGGGGTCAGGGCACGTGCGTGCTGGAGGGGGTTCCCAGTTGTGGAATGAAATCATGGAAATGTGATCTTCATTTCCTGGAGCTCAGGCTCAGTTCCTGCAGCTTGTGGCTCAGCATCAGGGAATCTGCTGGCCTTGCACCAGCAGGCTGGCCAATGAGCACACGACGGAGTGACCCTCAGATCCACTTGCTCTCAGCACTCACGCATCAGCGACCCCACTTCAAGGCCCAGGCTCAGCGCCAGCTGGCCCAGGCCTGCCTCTAGCTGTGGCTGTTGGCGGGACGCTCTGTACTGACACGTGCCTGCTCTTCTAGGGAATTCCTCCACCGCTGGCCAGCAGGGCCTCTGCTACAGGCCCTCCCGGTGCTCTCCCTGAGCTCGGAGCAGGCTTCCACGTGACCTCTATGTCTGGGGAACAACGTGCTAGGTATGTGGAGAGGTCAGGCTTTGGACCAAGGCAGTGGGACTTCAGATCCCAGACACAGGGCCCCTACCTGGGACGGTGGTCTCACAGGCCCTCCTTGGAGGGCCTAATTACGGTGACAGGATGCCTTCCTCACCCTGCTCCTGCATTCCTGTGTGACGCCGAGTCCTCTGCCCTGCTGTACCCTCACAGCTGACACGGCACGTGTGCAGGATGCGCAGCAGAGAACGGAGGGACGCCACCATGGCAGGCAGGCCCCGCAAGGTGAGCGTGGCGGCAGAGGGGAAGGGACACGGGACGCCCCGTCCCCCCGGCGCACACTCGGCGTCCTCTCGTCCCGGCTCCCCGCACACATACCCGCTGCAGCTCCTGGTTCTTCTCCTCCAGCTGCACCTCCATCTGCCGCAGCCGCTCCTCGATGTTGCCGTGCCTCTCTTCCGCCTGTTGGCAGGAGGATGAGCGTGAGCGGGCGCCAGGGCTTGGGGGCGCACACCGCGCCGGCGGCAGCAGTCAGAGCGCATGCTCACGGAGCTCCTCCCCGGCAGCCCACAGACAGCATCTGCTCAGGCCCAGCAGCGTGGCCGGTGGCCATTCGCCCTCCCATGCGGTGGTCTGAGGCACAGCTGGTGAGACCAACGTGAGAGAACCGTGTGTCCCCCACCCGCCCCACGGCCCGTCCCCGTCCCGGGATGGCCGTCACTGTCCCGGGATGGCCATTCCTGTCCCCGTCCAGGGATGCCTGTCCTCGTTCCGGGACGGCTGTCCCTGTCCCGGATGGCCATCCCTGTTCCGGAATGGCTGCAGTGAGTCACATGGAAGCGAAGCGGCAAGCAGGGTGAGGGCCAGGGTGCACATCTACCTTCCAGAGGTGGGAAGTAAGTTCCCACAGTCTAGCTTCCTTGACAGCACAGCTCCCAGAAGACAAGGGGTCAGACTACCAAGACGACAGGGACAGGAAGGTGAGAGGGAGAAAGAGACCCAGGTCAGGACGGAGAGGAAGCTGGTTAAAGCTGTTAGCAGTGAAGTCCCTGTCGGGAGCAGCCCGGGCGGCACAGGACACGCCCAGAGACCCCGCCATCGACAGCAGGCTGGTTCTCCGGCCCCTCAGCAGCGGCTCCCTACGCTCCACGGGGAAAGGAACCACGGACAGGTGCCCCCTCCCTGGAGGCAGGGCTCACGCTGCAGCTCTGTGCGGAGGTCGTCCGGAGCCGGCAGGCGGGGGCCATGGACCCCACCCTGGCTCTGCAAAGGGCGTCCCAGGGCCGTGAGCCTGCTGCCCCGTCCCGTCCTGTCCCTCTCCAGCCCACAGGCCTCCTGACTGAGCATCACCGTGCAGCAGTCTGTGGGCCTCCTGCTCCCCGAGGGGACAGGGGGACCTGAGCGCAGGCGCTGTCTTGCCGATGCCTCCCCATAGTGACTGGCCAAGTGGACGAACTCTGTCCGGTACATGAGTGTCTGGATTTTCTTTAAGAGAACCGCCCTTTCTGACTTGGGAGAACAACGCGGCCTGCTCTGCACAAAGCTCGGGTCATGCTCAGAGGTTAGTTCAGCACGTGGGTGGACAAACAGCACACGTCTGACAGCACTGGGAATGAACTCAGGGCTCAGAGAACGAGGCTGACACCTGACGTCTACACAGCTGTGCTGCTGGGGACAAAGATGCACCACAAACACACCTGCTGAGAGGTGACACGTGTGCTCAGGACACCACGACACCCACACCAGATGCCCACGCCCGCCCCGGCCCCCCCCAGCCACCACCTTGGAGAGTGCGGCCACCCTCTGGGCCAGCTCCGCCTCCACCTCGGGCAAGGTCTCCGCCTTCCGCAGGGTCTGCTGCAGCTTCTGCTCCGCCAGCTCCAGGCGCTCCTGCAGCTGTCGGTTCCGGTCCTCGGTCTGCAGACAAGAGCGGGTCACGCTGCAGCCCCAGGCCATAGCTGCGCACTGGGCCAGGCCGGGCAGCCAGAAACCCCTCTGTCTGCCAGGGGCACAGACCAAGCCCTTGTGCCTCGTTACCCCTGGGCCCAAGTCCTAGCTGGTCCTCAGCATCTTCCCAGAAATTCTCTCTATGCCTGAAGGTTCCTACACAGCATGGAAGGAGCGCTGGTGACCACTGTGTCAACCACGGGCTGCCAACTGCAAGGTGAGCGCTCTGGAGCCACCAGATGCTTTGTGGCAGAAAGACGGGCAATCTCCCACAAAGAAAACGGATTTCACTTGATGGCAGTGAACTTGAGCAGGGTTTCAAGGTTTCAAGGAGCGACTGTGGTGATGCAGAGGCTGAAGTTTCCCATCACAAATCAGAGCTTGGCCATGGGAACCCCCAGTGGCTCTGTGGGGAGAGCCGGGCTGTCTGCACTCATAATGCTTTGCTCTGTCCTTCAGCAGCGCCCGCGGTCCTGGTCTGGCCTGAGGGCCTCTGCCCAGTGGAAGGGGGTTCCCGCAGGGGCTGACTGGCAGGCGGAGGCGGGAAGGCTGAGAGCAGACTCTCCCACAGACATCGGGGGCACTGTCCCAGGCCAGCATACCTGCAGCCCCAGCACCTACAGCCAGACACTGCCCCCCAAAGCAGAGCCCTGCAGAGTGTGCCATGACATGCTGGGTGAGGCATTTTAAAGACTGTTACTCTGGTTAAAAATGCTCTTACTCTGAACACTTATTTCAATGGAGAAAATTCAAAGTTAAAAAAACATAAAAATCTCTATCTTCAGGTTCTCGAGGAATGAGCATTTAATTCTACCTCCTTTTTGTGTGCACATACTGCCATGTGTGGACACACACTGCGTTTAAAACTCTCCCGACACGCCCACGGTGTCAGGACCACAGGCAGTCCGAGAACCACGAAGGACTCCAACGAGGACCCGCTGCACTCACCCAGAACCGGCTGAGGTTACTCAGATTCCAACCCCCAAAAGGCAAAGACAGAACATTTACAAAGACCACGGGAACAAAAGGCATATTAATAAAAACAAAACAAAGAGTATCTCACTAACTTGGGAACTGACGGGAAGGAACAGTCCCTGGCCGAAGTTGGAGGCTATCTGCATTTTAAAGCCAGGTATTGCCTCTGAAGTCACCTTGGATGTATTTCACCTGGTATTAAATATTACACAGCAGCCTTCTTCGCGGCTGTCAGTATCTTCCTGTTGGTCAAAGCATGGCCCCTGGCCCAAAAGCGAGCTCACTTGCTCTTCCAGGCCGATCAGAGGTTTTGCTGCCTGACCCTTGATATCGGACCAGACACAGAAGCAGGGGCCAGCGTGGCTACGGCCTAGGGTCACACCCGCCACAGGCTTCACCTCTGAACCTGACACTCATCACAAGCTCCCTGCTCACCCAGCAGAAGGCAGACAGCTTAGGGGTCCACGGACATGTTAGCGCCTCTTCACCCTCTGGGGGAAACAACAGCTGCGGCTAACAAGGATGTGAACGGAGTCAGCCGGGCAGCTCCACCGACATGCTGCCGTGGAATCGCTCCAATGGAGCTGCGACCTCATGTCACAGGGAGATGGGCTTTCCCAGGTGGAAACGGACTCAGGAAAGGGCCTGATGTTCCTTCCAAGGGGCAGCTGGAGGGTTCAAACTGCCAACCTTTCGGTCAGTAACTGCGCATTTAACCGGGGAGCCAGTAGGCTCCTGGCAGTGCCCCGAGAGGTCAAGCACACGCTCAACAGTGAAGGCCTTACCCGAGCATGCTGAGACCTGGCACGCTGCCCTCCGGACCTGGCCCGGTCTGTGGCTCCCCTGGGAGCTCACTAACGAGGGACGCCCCACGAAGCAGCAAGCGTTACCTGCCGATGCATGGAGTCCTTGTTCGCAATCTCGTTTTCCAGCTTGTCGTTGAGGTCGTGCACAGATGTGGCTTCACGCTGTGCGGCGAGGTAGCGCTTTTCAAGGGTGGTGATTCTCTCCTCCATGTCCTCCTTCTGGGCCATGGCCTACGTCAGGTTTTCAGAGAAATGAAAAAGGATGGTTAGGATTTAATACGTTTACTGGGACAAAGACAGAGAGATTGAGTTAAGCCTAATTTTCTCATCAAAAGTAAATGAGCATCAGTAAAACCCAAATGTGAACTAAAACGTACCGACCTTGAGAATCCAAACAGCCACCGATTTAGTTATCAAGAACTGCCTGAGCACATTCGACCAAGCTCATCCCTTTCGGGTCATGTGAAAAGAAGGCCAAGATGCCCATGCTGGGCCCGCGCTCCTTTAACTGTGATGCTCTGGAGTAAAAGGTCACCCCCGAAACGGGAGCCGACCCCATCACCTCTGACACACAGGCGCAGGATGGACAGACCACTCACCTCGCGGACATCCCTCTGCAGCTTCGTGTTCACTTCCTCAGACTTGATGAGGTCCTTCCGCGCTGTGTCCAGGTCCTCCTCCAGCTCGGTGACGCGGCTGGACAGGGCGGCCAGCCGCTCCTTCATCTGGCCCTGCTCTCGGGACTGCTTGTCTATGATGTCCTGGAGCTCCACCACCTTGGCCAGGTCCTCCTCGTGGCTCAGGGAGCCGTCAGAAGACCTCTGCTAGAAACACACAGCCATCAGGAGCCTTGTCTCAGGAGCTGGCGGACAACAGCAGCCGGTGTGAGCCAACTGCAGGCCGACGAGGCCATCAGGCCGGGGTGGGGTCAGGCCGCCGCCACAGCCCCCGCTGCACCAGTGCCCTGTGGGGGAGGGGGAGCAGTGGGGGAGGGGCAGCAGCGGGGAAGGGCACCCCCAGCCGGGACTTGCCTTTCCGTTCGTGCTCGGCGTGTTTCCCTGCTCGTGGTTCATGTCCAGCAGCCCATCCGCTAGGGTTTTTTTCTGATTATTCTGTTCTTTAAGGATCATTAACTGAAGCCAAAAAATTGAATATGAGAGTAAAACACCTCATGCAAAAGACGGAAAGGAAACAAAACTGCTGTGAGCAAAGTCACCATAACCCACGACCCCAGGTGCTGGCGGGAGACGCGGCTCCATCGACCTGCCTGGCTTATCCCCCGAGGGACTGCTCACTGCTGGACAGACGAGCACCTAAGGGCCCCAAGGCACTGAACGAAGTGGACAGCGGCTGGGCTTGTGAACCAGTGACGATGTCTGCTGGGAGTCGGTGCCCTTGTAAAGAACTGTCCCGTGACAACAGCACCCAGAGGCCTAGAGCGCGAGTCTGGGGACAGTGGGGGACACTAACGAGGGAGCGGGGGAGAAGGGGAGCAGGACTGCGAGTCCGCCATCAGTGTCGCTGGCCAGGGCACGGGACACTATGGCACTAGTGACCCTCCGGTGTGCAGTCTCAACAACAGAAAGAAACTATTTTTGAAAACAAAAAATGTAACTGTAACATAGCAAATAAATATATTCCTATTAGTACATAATGGTAATGAGGGCAGGTGTGTCAGAGTCGGTGAGGCTGGCTCAGGTAGGGCAGGCTTCAGAGCTGTTGGACACAGGGTCGCTGGGAGTTGTCGGAGACTCGATGGCACATCAACACCAACAATACATGTGTAATTACAGTATCATTCTAGTTATTATATATAAAATACAACAAAAGAAGAGTTGGCTAAAATGACCTGTACAGGCGGCCGGTCCCCTCGATCAGGAAGACCAACACTGCCCAGCACCCACACTGCACCCCGTGTCATCTCCTTTTAATTAAAGAAATAAAGATTTCAAACTCTCCAATTCCCACCAAATGATTTCTCAAGCTTACCTCTTTATGGGTGGCACCTAGTTCTTCTTCTAACAAACTACACCTTTCAAGTGCTACTCGTAATCTCTCCCTCACCTGAAAATAAGATGGGTTAAGTTAGTGTCAGGAAATCAACAGATTTATTGTATTAGGAAAATCTGCTGTCAGGGACCTCTCCAAAGTACTGAGAAGCAACGTGTCAGTTTAGAGACTAAGGTGCACCTGATCCAGGTCATAGTCTTTGTAATTACTTGCTGTGCATCAGAGAGCTGGACAATGATTACGGATAACAGAAGAAATGATGCTTTTAAGTTGTGGTGCTGGAGAAGAGTCTTGAACCTAGCATGGACCGCCAAGGAAACAAATAGGTCTGCCTTGGAGAGGGTGAAACCAAGTTTCTCCTTGGAGGCAAGGATTTTGAAGCTCTGTCTCATGTACTTTGGGCACATGGCCAAGAGAGACCTGTCCTTGGAGAAGGACATCATGCTCGGAAGGTTGGAAGGAGTGCACAGGAGAAGACGACCCTGGATGAGATGGATTGATACAGTAACTGGAGCAATGGGGGAATGGTGTGTCAGAATTAGTGAGACCGGCTTAGGACAGGGTGGCCTTCAGAGCTGCTGTACATAGGGTCGCTATGAGTGGCAGGTGACTCAACGGCACATAACAAGTTACTGTCTGTGTGTATAATTTATTTTTTATCCTTATGTATGTCACACTAACACCAGTCCAAACAGATGCCAACGTGGAGACCCTGCACCGCAGAGCAGGAATGCCCCGTCTCCAAGGCTGCACTCTTCTCACACTGCACGTGTCGCTCCTGTGGAGCAGGTGGTGGGCCAGAACCTCTGACCACTGCACCACCACAGCCCCAGTACTCCAGACAGTGCCCATACATGGGGACACTCCAGAGCACCAGGGTCCCGTGCACAGAAATCACTCATCAAGGAAATTTTACATTACAGGCTTTAAAATAAGCTCGAGAAAGCACTTCACCCTGAATAAATGAATTCTTAACAGAAAAAACACACAAAGCAGCAAGAGATTTCTGAGTCAAGCAGTCCTCTTACAGGACTCTGCTGTTCACAACAACTCCGGAGGCTTCCAGAATGAAGCTGAGGTAGCAGGGCACAAGGTCTACTGGCTCGCGGCACACAAGACGGGGTCCCGCACACGCACCTTCTCGTCCAGGGCTTTGTGGTGCTCGAACAGCGACTTGAGCGCTTTGAGGACTTCGACTTCGCTGGAGACCCCTGCTGGGGACTGGGCCTGTCTCTTCACCACCGTCATCCTGAGAGACCGCTCATGCCGTGACACCAGGCACTCCAGATGCTCCAGCAGCAGCTGAGACAGAAAACAGTACGTCCAGTGAGCAGATGTTCCACGGCACGCTGGGTTAAGGGCGGACGCTCACCGTCCAGGCCCACGTCGGAACCTCCCTACATGTGTCAGCACATCATGCATTCTCACTGGACACTTCCGCCCAGGAGGAGGTCACGTCTTTGCACTTCGCTGATCCTGGTGCCCACACGGGGACGGGGACGGGGACAGGCGTGCGCGCGCGCGCACACACACACACACACACACACACACACACACACACAGACATGGACTCTCCCAGAAGCCAGAGGCTACAGCTGGGGCTACAAACCCTGGTGTTGTTCCGCTCAGCTTTCAGCTCGGCAATCTCTTCTTCTCTCTCGAGGAGCTGCTCCCGACACACATTGAGCTCTTTCGTAAGTGCTGCAAACTCCTGGAAAACAAGAGACGCTCTGAGAAAGATGTCCATGTGGCAGCTCCTGTCCTCCACGGGCAAGTCCTGGTGTGAGGGTACAATGGCCTGGTGAGCTTCCAAGGAAAAGGGGACCAGCGCGGCTGCCTGGGACCACCTGCTGCTTTGTGATGCAGAGTTGGCCTCGGCTGCCATTCTCCCCTGAGCTGGCCAAGCACAGCGAGGGCATTCCACACGAGGACAGGACATTTCACACAAGGAGAGGGCACTGTAAGTGAGGAGAGGGCATTCCACGTGAGGAGAGGGCATTCCATGCTAGGCAGCATGCTCTTCTGATTCCGATTACACCGACTAGGGACCTTTACGTGACAATGGTAACGCATAGACAAGCCCTACCGTCCTGAGACCCCTCTGTGTGCCCAGCCCCTTTCTGGCCTACAGCAGTGCTCAGGGCAGAGGCCCCTGGGATCCAGCAGCAGGTGCCAAAGTCAATCCTGGAGCACAAGCAACCTGCTCAAAGTCAAGGACATCCAACGGTCCTTGCAGATCTACAGTCCAGCACACAGCCTCACGGTGAGATACACTCCTCCAAAAGTGACGTGCACGGACTCAAGGTCAGCATTCACTCCGAGCTGGGGTGGGGGGGAGGGGACAGTAGAGACACAGTCACAGACACAGAGTGGAGGGGGTATGCAAACATGCTGCAAAACCCCTAACTGGCGACAGCGAGCAGTCTGAGAATCGTCTAGGGCATGGAGCTCCAGGGAAAGAGGGCCAGTCACCTCCTGTCTGACTTACAGCCTCTGAAAGCCCCCTGGGAGTCAGCTGTGAACTGGTTCCGACTCGATGGCATGTAATCACCACAAGCTATCCGAGTCAGTATTTTACAATGAAACAGGAAATAAAGGGATGTGGGGAGTGGGGAGTAGTAGTATGCAGAGTCAAAGGTAGCCACTGGGCCCCCAGAAAGGCACCCCTGGATGGCAGGCGAGCACACCTGCCATGCCAGCAGTGCACAGGTGCCCTGAGGACAAAGGAGGGCCCGGGAGAACCCTGGGGACACAGGCAGAGGGAAGGCTGGTATGCCTATCCAAAGGAGTTCTGAAGGAGGTGACAGCAGCTTGATCTCCACCCGAGTCAGGACACCTGAGTGAGCCTGAAGTCATGTGACAGCTGTGCTGGGCAGCACACATGAAGGGGAGGTCAGGGAGTGGGCACTGCAAGACTCCAGGACTTAGGACAGGCTCCAAGGGCCATGAGCACCCAGTACAAGGCGGGCCTCCCGTGGGGTACAAACAGGTAACAGCCCCTGGGTCGGTGGAGAAGCCAGCTCAAGTTCACAGTCATTCTCACAGAAGGAAATGGGCAGAGCTGAGTGCAGGGCACAGAGGAGCAGCCAAGCTAAGAAGCTTCAAGGTTGAGCCCAGCAGCAACCCTCCAGGTGGTGCTGGGCCCTCTGCAGTCCTCGAAGCACCCACCTCATGTGTGTTTACAGCACACACAACAACACGGTTGAGACAGAGGCGGGACGGCGGTAAGCCACTCCAGCAGGACCTGGACCACGATGCCCACAAAGCTAGGGCACGGAGGCTGACTGGACGGTTTTACTAGAACCACCGGAGGTGCCGGCACCAGACACGGTCCCTGTGGTGGTAGGAATTTTTACTATCCTATCACACGCGAGGTAGGAATGTGTAAGTGGAAGGCACCTTTGCGGCTCCCCCCAACCCTGCTAGCTTCCCAGGGATGTTGTCTCCAGCTGCCTCCACTGTGGAGACGGGGTTCACGTTGATCAGAACCTTCAGCATCATCTATAGCTGTGAGACCAACACTACCCGACTCTACTAGAGACACTGTGGCAAGGGACCAGATTCCTTAAAACAGGAACCCCAAAACCAGAAAAAAAGCAGCAGCACAAAAAGCAGCGCGTGTCCTTCAGGCCAGAGGGGTTTGCTGTAGACTGAGAGGCTGCCTGGATTAGCTGAGGGATTATGTCTCGATGCTAACTTGACTTGAGACTATCATTTGCTGAACCCAGACTTTCACTGTCTGATATTTTTTGCCTCTCCCCAATCCACCTGAACCTGTTACCCTATTAAACTTTACAGCTGTGAGAAAAGATTCTGTATTCTGTGTGGTCATTTGCTTCAAATTCCAGACCCAGAAATGTGAAGGAGGTTCAGCAGAGTTGGGGGGTCACGTCTGACCTTACAGGAATCAGTTCTGTACTATGGATGTTGCTGATGGGGAGAGTTCTTCATGGAGTGAACAGAGGGGAAACTTGGCAATCCTCAAGTTGCAGTTGTTAAGGGCTGGGAGGACTCCAAGGGTCCTGGCAGGAGAAGTGGAGGATGGAGTTTGTGTCCTGAGAGAGGAAGGGGTGGGAGGAGCTGTTCTGAAATCCAAAGTCCAGTGTGGGGCAAGCCCGACCGGACAGCTGTGACGGTCATGCTCAGCGCCGTCTATACTTCAGGATGTGCTGGGGGGGTGGAGACAGTCAGCAGGCCAGCTCCGCTGCTGAGTGTCTCAGGTGAGGACAAGCTGGGAGGAGGACAGCTCTGCAGTCGCCAAATGTCCCGGGGAGGAAACTCCCACTGTATCAGATGGTGGGGACACATCGAGGCAGAGGGAGATGGAAACCTGGCTGCTGGACCTGGGGAGGTTCATCAGGGTGAGGGGACGATGCATAGGCAGTGAAGAGGACAGTCCTGAGAGGAACCCACGGTCACAGGGCTGAGAGGAGAGGCTGGGCTGGGAGGAGAGGCCGGGCTGACAGGAGAGGCCGGGCTGGGAGGAGAAGCAGGGCTGGGAAGAGAGGCAGAGCTGAGACGTTTTGGGGCACGAGGCAGAAGCTGATGTGCAGAGAGTGAGCTTCCTGGGGAGCCTAACAGAGAGAGGAGGGAACGGATGGAGTGATGCACAGCTCAGGCTGAGGGCAGACAGGTCAGGTGACTCAGTGGAGAGGCAGGCCTTTTTGGAACACAGACAGGTCATCTACAGCAGGACACACAGACAGATACAAACAGCAGATGGGCAGTGTTTACACAGAGTTTCTCACATGTCTCCCAGTGTTACCGGGAAAAGCCTGTAGTCACCAGCCATGTGGGATCATGGGAGAGCTGGAACTGGCCCACTGAGGGCAGTGGATATGTGTGTGGAAAGAGGACTAGTTTAAGAGGGTCTGTAAGTACAATGACATTGCATTGGGTAAATCTCCTGCAAAAGGTCACTTTTAAATAAAGTGCCATCAAACAAAGACACCATTTGGAAAACTACGATGTGCTGGACCCATGTCAAGGCATTTTCAGTCACCTCATGTTCATACAAAAATCGTTACCTAGACCAAGAAGTTGCTGTCTGTCCAAATGGAACACTACATGGTTTAAAACTAGAAAAGGAGTGTCTCAGGGCTGTATCCTTTCCTCATACCCTCTCACTCTGTACGCTGGACAAATAATCTGTAGTCAGACACTGTGAAGAGGAACGTAGCATCAGGATCAGAGTGAGATTCAACAACGTGCATTACGCAGATATCATAACCTTGCTTGTGAAAAATGAGGAAAACTTGAAGCACTTGCTGCAGAAGATTAAGGATTGAAGTTTTCAATTTAGATTACTTCTCAAATCAAGCAAACAAAGGTTCTCACCATGAGGCCAACAGACATGATAATAAATCGAAAAAAGATTGACACGGTCAATGATTTAATCTTAACTTGAATCCACAATCCACACTTTCGGTATCAGCACTCAGGAAATCAGGAGACTTATTGTACTGGGCAAGTCTGCTGGTTGGAATATACCATGGACCATCAACAAAACAAATACCTCTGGTTTTGAAGATGTTGAAACCAAGTTTCTACCTGGAGGCTAAGATTTTGAAGCTCCATCTCATATATTTTGGGCATGTGTCCAGGAGGGACTGATCCTTGGAGAAGGACATCATGCTCAGAAGGGCGGAGGGACAGCAGGAGAGGAAGACCCCAGATAAGATGGACTGATACAGTAACTGGGGCGATGGCGGGTGATATGTTGCAGTCAATGAGACTGGCTCAGGATAGGGCAGGCTTCAGAACCACTGTACATAGGGCCACTATGAGTCGCAGGCACCTTGATGGCACATAACAACACATACAAAAGCTGGGCAGTGAATAGGAAAGGCTGAGGTAGTAATGTCTTCCAGTCACGGTGTTGACAAATAGTGAGGACTGTGACAGCCAGAAGAACACAACATCTGTCTTGAAGGAGGCGCAGTCGGGATGCTCCAGAGAGTGTGGACAGCAAGGGAGCTCTGGTGCCTAGCGGCAAGAAGCTGGCTGTCACCCCGAAGGCGCTGCAATCCACCAGGTGCTGCGCTGGGGAAGGAGGGGCACTCTCCTCCTGTGCGGGTCGGATGTGACTCCACAGTCCACAACAAGGGGAAAGTGAGGGCAGCAAGCCCGGCCTTCATCCTTAGGAGGGGTCCCTCCCTGGAGAGCACACTTAGCATCTAGGCTACTCCTATCAAGCTGCTTCCCATAACCCTGTATTACTGTTATGCCCCAGCAAGTGGGAAGTGACTCCTAGCTGACCCTCCAGCAGGTCTTCAGAGGCTGTAAGTCCCACAGAAGGAGCCTGCCCATCTTCCTCCTGGAGCAGCTGGTGAGCTGAAACCATGTGCCTGGGGTTAGCAGCACAACTCCTCCCCACTAAACCGCCGGAACGAATGATCTAGGGAGCCTGTATCATGAGGCGTGTCCTGCCGAGTCGGCACTGACTCACAGCTGACCCTTCAGCAGTTTGGCAGAGGCCGTCAGCGGCCGGGAGGAGCTTGCCATCCTCCCGCAGAGCAGCCGAGGAGGTGAACCGCCTATCTTTTGACACACCAGAGCTCCCAAGTGACCTTCTGGGATTGGAAGGACGTCCCAGCATCTCCAAGGCCAGGGGAGCAGACTGCTTCATCTTCCTGGGAGGCAGCTGCTGAGCTCAAACCACCGTCCAGTCTTAACTACTAACACTGCCTGGGCTCCCGGTAAAACTGCTGT